AAACTGATCATAAATTAAAAAATTGAAAACATAAATTTTAATTAGTGATTAAAATACAAGAATATAATATAGTTTGTATTTAATTATTAATAATGTATTATCCATATTTGAATTGCTGCCTTCAAAGTATATATTGTATGTCAGTTTCCTTGACGTTTGAACAACGATTTCTTTCCTATCTCGTTTTCCTTCCATTTTTACACATATACATAAGCTCGCATTCATCGCATGTGTATGCAGATAGGGATAATATAAATTTGATTTTGTTACTGTTATATAATTTTTTTTTATATTTAAATACGAAGTTCGATTATAAAACTGATTATATTATCGATGAAATTCATGGATATTAAATACTGATGTATGAAAAGGCAATAAACTGTGTAAACTATCAAAACAATTAAATTAGTTGTACTTAAATTAATCTTAATGAAAAATAATCAAAAATCATACTAAAATTTTAAATAATGTAAATCGTGGTTTTTACAATAAAAAAAATAGCTATTTTATTGTGTTTAGCATTCAATGAAAAAATTTTCTGAATTGTGATTACATGTACAATACTTAGACTACATCGAAGCTCCATAATATTTTGTAATTTCTTATAGAGGGTATAATGAAAAAGACCATTTATGATAATTTAGCTACTGTATTTCATAATACGTCTTTCACACTTCCGAATTATTAATGTGCCGACCTATATAAATCAATTAAGAAACATCACATTTCACACGTGAATGAAAATGTTGCATTGTAACGAAAATTTATCTCTATTTAAAATGGGAATCCATTTTTTAAGCATATAACTCTACAGATATACACAAATATATTTCAAAATATAACATTATTATTATTAAAAAATTGTAATAACCAGATGTAATGGCATTTATACAGAGCAAGCGTAAAAAATAATAATAACCTTTATTATCAATATGATTATCAATAATTATACAAATTTATCGATATTGTCGATAAATATGTTGTAAAATTAAGTATTCATGCAATCAACTTAAGTATATAAATATAAATATAATATAAAATTAAGATTATATTTGGCATGATTTAATAAAATAATTGGAAACCCGTGTATTAATCACAAAAATAAAAAACTATTTAATTTAAATGAAAGAAATTAAGAAGTAAAAAATTCTAGTGTGGAGGGTTCAATAATATGCTTTCAAAAAAAAATACTGTTATTAAAATATAATTTGTATTTTATAACTCAAACTTGTATTATTACTATTTTTACGTATTTATCTTTAACTTAAATCCATAAAAAATATTGTGCTGAATGAAAAAAAAATGATACTATTATTTTTAATGTTGATTATATTTTATAGCAATATAAATAGTATAATATATTATAATCTAATATCTGTACATTTATTAAATAATATATGTATATGTCATTTTATACATCTTTCAAACGGTAATAAAGCAATTACCAATTAAAATATTGCTTCTCCGGGACAAGTTTGTATAATTAATGTATATTTTAATATCTAACATCTGTATACTGTGGACAAATTTAAGCTCAACATATTAAAAGAATTTTTTGAAATAATTAAATAAAATAAATTCTCATAATATCAAAGTAAAAAACTATTTAAAAATTTGTTTCGAAATCTATTACATGTTTATTCATCTTCAAAAATATTGCAATATATATAATACCTTTTGAAGGCTGATAAATATTGTATAATTTTCAATATATAATATCAATATCAATATCGTATATATCTCAATGTGTGTGAATTGTAATTGACAAATATAAAAAATGTAAAGGTCCGTATAACATCACCGAAAATTCGTTTATATTTAAATGCTAGTATTATATCTAGTATTTGTAAATTTTTATCCGTTTTGTAAAGGAGGTTTTAATAGTGAAATTTATTTCAAATATTTGTTTTTTCATTCGTTTTCAAGAGTTCGAGTACACTCTTATGATTCAAGTGGCAGTGAGGAATGGTAATTCTTGATTAGAAATAGGATGTAGTAGTCTGTTCACCTTTTTATGTCTTTTATCTTCCAAAAAATATACGATGCTTCTTTTTATAAAACCACTTGTTTCACAGATTACTATTATCCATAAATTATTATATGAAGATCATTATAGTCTTTCACTTTTGAAAATTCAAATCATGATCCACATGCTGCATTATTTAAAACTGTATTATTTTAAGCATCATTATTACCTCAAGCCAGATTTCTTATTCGCATTTTAAAAGTTACAATAATTCACAATTCATAATAGTAAAGTCGGTTTTTGACATCGAATCATTTTAGTTTATATATGCAATGTGTGAAAAAAATTAACAATTAAAACACTATACATATTTCTTATTTCATTATATATTTATTTTTAATTTTACATTTTAGATGAATATTAAACATTTGAGATTCACTTTTTAGTTTGAATCTTTTTATAATTATTTACATATATTAATTTTTTTAATAACACATTGCTTATATCGAACATGTAAGAATTGTATAATGTACGTTCGTATTGATACAATGATAATTACTTTTACTTGTAGAATTGAGGAAAGCAAAATTAATTTATTATCAAGTAAAAAATATTAATGAGAATTGAATGTAATATAAAGAAATTTAAATATCAAAATTTTTTCTAAAAAAAAAAATATATATATATATATCTCTAATTTTCTTGCATAGTCTAGTTAACATCTGAACATATACTATTATTGCTTTTTAATATTAAATTTTTATACTGTTGTAATAATATAATTATTATATATTATATTAAACTTATTACATACATAAAATTATATATAAAATTATAAAATGAATTAATCAAATTTTTCTTCTGATTTTATAATCCAATAAATTATTCGATTATTTCTATCCCATTACATTACACAATATTTAGAATATTTGCATATAACAAAAATCTTTCAATTTATTATGACGACTTGTATATACTTCTTTATAAACATATAATATAGAATTTTTCTTTCTATATTAATTTTATTTTAAATATACGTCAATTTTACCAAACTAAATCCTAGGCTAAATCCTATAATTCATCAAATCACTTTTAATTTTTACATTTAGATAGTTTGTTCGTGTTTAAAATAATTTATTCCTGCTTTTCAGTACAGATATTATGTTTATAAGCGATATAGAGGTTATTATATCGTATTATATTTTAATGTTCCAAATATTTCTCATTTTGTTAAAAAATATATTGGTATAAAAGGATCTTTTGATATAAAACAATATATGGACAAGTTGTAGCAAATATATATAATTTTTTATAAATAGTAAACAAATCAACAAAAAATTAATTTATCTAAAAGAATGAATTTATTATGAAATTCATTTTTACATAGAAAATAAGTTTGAATGTTTTAATAATTAAATTTGACAATAATTTATTTCGAATTATAAGAATATGTTAATACAAAATAAGTTATACAAAATAATTCACTCCACTCATATAATCCGATTCCCTATTAAAACTTTAATATTATGAGTGATTAATAATAAAATACATATTAATTATAAAATACTAATTTAGATAATAATAAAATAAAGTAATTAATTATTTTCTTTGCGTAAGAATCAGGAAACATGTTATGCAAAATTAAATCAATAACCACAATATGTCTTGAAATATATCTGTAATATGAAACATTACGATTCATTGCTAACAAAACATGCAAAGTTATTTATAATTATTTGAGCGTATAATTTGCAAAGCTATTATGAAGTGATATTAACAATGTAGAGAATTTTGCTTAGAAAACGTAATATTGAATACACTGATATTTTAGCTTACGTTGAAACCGTTGCAATATTTTTAAACATAAAAATAAATATGCCGAATCAAAATTTATAAACTTTTTAAATAATGATTATTGTTAATAATATTATTTTTAATAATTTCAAAACATTTTGAATGAACATTATATTTTTAAAACAAAATTTACCTATCATTATTCATTTTCTAATTACGCTCAACCATACTAAAACTTATATTTATCATAAAATACAGATTAATTTGTAAAATAATTGTATATTATTCAAGGTATTCGAATTAATTACGAAAATTAAAAAATGGTTATACAACTGCTAAAGTATTAAAATTAGTTTTCATAACAAGTTGCTGTATTTAAATATCAATGATAAAATGTGAACATATCGCTAAACAATTATTTCTGAAGAAAACATGTTATTCATATGCTTTTCTGGCTTGTTATATCCTATTATAACATACAATCTATTATTGTTATTGTTGTATGGTATAATATATTGTAAGCAATTAAAATTTCTAATTTAAATTAACTTCCAAATAAGTTATTGCAACGAGGATTCTAAATAGTTGTAATACTAATTACATTATTTGAATAATACAAATTGTAAATTCTATTATACAGATTGAATTAAATAAAACATTAGAGATTTTTTGATTATTTTTTGTTGTAATTTGTATAAAAATAAAATATAAGTTTAACCTGTCAGTTAGATGTGCACAAAAATTGAAACAGTAATTACAAATGAAGTTTAATTACGAATTTAGAATACTATTAAAATGGCTTTAAAATATTGTAAACAGTTGATAGTTTTTTCATTATTTTTTAACAATGAACATTTTTTATATTTTGTTTAGAATTTAAATTCATTTAAATATATATTTTGATTTCAATTTTTTAATATTTTGATAATATATTATGAAATGGAGATGTTGTAATGTATAAACTATTTTATGAAGAAAATTAATTTACAATTACATTTACATTCAATTCACATTTAATTTGTGTAAATTTGAAATACAAAAATAATAAAGCATATTCTTTTAAATAATAAGCATTTGATATTAAAAAAAAAACATTAAAAAAATTCACTATTTTAATAATAATAATTATCATTTCTTTTATATTTTTAATTATTAGAAATTGATAATATATTTCTATTTATATACTTTTTATAAATTATAGTTGTTAATAATTGATTATTTTTTACACATTTTAGATATTTTATCAAATGGACCAGTGAAGCTTCGATCCATAAATTAATGCTTCTACCAGTGAAATCAAGGTATGTTCTTCTAAAAAACTGTATTTCAAATCAATAAATAAACTATTTATATTTTAATTCTTAAAGTTACTTGATTCTTACTAATTTCAATTCGTAGAGTTCTAGCAACAATAATAACAATAAAACTTGAAATTTTTATTTTTAATATTAACATATATTCACTAAAATCATTTAGCACTGTGGAATTAGCATTTAAACACAATATACATTAAATATTTAAATAATATTATCTATATATTATACATGTCAATTTTTGTATATCTATTTTTTCAAGAGTATGGTAGAAATTTATATGTTTATATATTTATCCATATAATACGTTATAATTAATTATATATGATTAGCATTAGTAGTAAAGTACTAGTATGTTTATTTTACTTGATTTAATTTTACACAAAGATATAATAGTTTACATTTTAATGTTTTGTTTTTTTCTATATAAGAATATTAGACTTATCGATCTGATATCTATTAGAATATTTGCTTTTAGCACTTCATTATATATAAATTCACTTTCATTTTTTTTAACATATTTTTCATTACATATTGTAAAGTAAAATCTGTTATTGAATTTATAATAAATTATGAATTAAAATAACTTATGAGTTTTGTCATAATATATTTAATATAATATAATATATAGAAATAAATGACTAACGTCTTTAAATAATAAACATCCTAATAATGATATTATAAATAGGAGAACATATTTCTATAAATTGATAAAGGTTATTAAATATAAATAATGTAAAGGCTTATAGTTGTTAAGAAGAAATCGATATACTTACGCGTGATATCAAAGATTTAAGCATTAAGGAAAAACATCTATTTTATTTAATAGTCATAAAAATATTTTTTAAAAATTATTATATTGCAATAGCATTGCTGTAAATAATAACAATTAGAATTAAGTAACCTCCAAATGTCCAAATGTGTAAATAATCTAGAAAGTATACAACAATATTTAATATTTAATAATTTATTTAAATTCCTAAGTAATATTTATATTAAATATAAATTTAAACTATAAAAGAAAAACAGATGTTTTATATGCTGAATGAAAAATACTTTGAAAAAAACTTATTACATTATTTATTTAAATTAAATTTATCATTAGAAATATTAAATATATTTTTTTATAAATAGATAAATATAATAATATTATGACAACTTCCTTGAATAATTAGTATATGAATTTTAAATTTAATAAAGAATATTAATATATAAAGAAACATAAATATCAACAATCAAAAAATGTTAAATTAACAAATAAGCGAAATAAAGTGAATGATGAAGATTTCAACTTTTGTTAAGCAGTGATTGATTATTGTTGGCTAAACCTAGCAGCAAAATGCGATTATAAATTACTATATTAAATTTTAATTTGAATGAACTTTTCATATAATTGTTAAAAGCAGGTATAAAATTTCAAAGTTTTATTATCAATATTTTATTTATAAATACTTATTAAATTTTACTCACACTGTTACAAATAAAGTGTCTACCTGTATTTACGCTGATAATTTTTCTTCATTTTTGTCATAATTTCATTTAATTACTTTTAATCTTGTACTGGACAATTCCAAACAATTAAACAAATCATTGATGTTTATAATTTAAAAGTCTAAATAAATTTTATAAAATAAACTTACTCAAAACTTTATGTTAAATTTGAATATTCTTTGCGGATCGATTTTTATATTTATGAATAATAAATAGAAAATAATGTGTAAAGGTTGTATAGAAGTTTACTTTCTGGCATTTAAATATTAAAAATAATCGTACAATACAGTTTTAATGTCTCGATTTATAATTTTCATATATAAGATAGTATAAACAAACAGCATTAATTAGAAAACAACGTAATAGTGTAAGGGTTTGCACATAATGAAATAACAAAGAAATATCTCATAGCAAATCGTTGAATATTTGTTATATTTTTGATAATTAAAAATAAATATAGCTTATTGACCTTCCAAATTTATGAAGAAAAAAGTGTGTGTATGTGTGTGGATGCTTGTGCGGGCGCGTGCGTGTGTGTGCATATGCATGTGTGTGAAAGAGAGGGGAGGAGACGGAGAGAAAGAGAGCAAATAAATAATATAAATAAAAAATAATTACAAGTATAAAAGTCTTAAAAACAAAATACCATTCTTATATAAAAGCTAAATTTTACAACCTTATGTATTTGCAATATCAGTTGCAAACATGGAAATGATATTTTTAAATTATAATAGAAATGTAAAAGCATATTGATGTTTTCTTGAATACTAGACATGATGTGATTTTTTATCTTAAAGATTTATTTATTTTATTGGTATTTCATGAATATTCATAAACTAATAAAATAGCTATATTCATAAAATAGTTAAAATGTATATAATCATAAAGATTATGAATTTTATCCATGATGTAGTGAAGTAATATGTGAATTTATCAGCTTCTTTTTTGTTTAATTAAATATTTATATTATTGTTTCAAACATTTAATAAATGGAATAGAATAAAATGTTATCAGATAAATACTATATAATAATTTTGATAATTTTATGATTCTTGTTTAATGTTAAGTCACTATATTACGCAACTTTAAATATTATTTTTTAATATTGTTTGAATATTATTTGTGTTTTGAATAGTATTATAAAATTAATTATTAAAAGATAAAATTTAAAATAAGCAAATATTTTGTGTTTCAGAATAGTAATAATGAAACATTCTAGAATGTTACTACTGCTACTATCACTAGCATTAGTACTGCTCACAAGTAATTGTGTCGGTCAATTAGATTGGGAATGTATTCCATCGTGCAAATGTATCTGGGTATCCGGCAAAAAAACTGCTGAATGTAAGGAACAAAATCTTACAAATATTCCTAATGCACTATCGAAGGAAATCCAGCACCTTGATCTAAGCGGTAATTACATTAACAGCTTATCGGATAAAGTCTTTACTAAAGTTAAATTGGATAACCTTCAAAAACTCGTCCTCTATAATTGTAACATTAGTACTGTACATGCTGAAGCTTTCAATGGCTTACGAATCGTTATTGAAATAGATCTATCTAATAATCATATAAGACATCTTCAACGAGGTACTTTCGATGAGACAGAGAGACTTAGAGTTCTTGTACTTAATCAGAATGAATTGCAAAGGCTTGACGACGATCTCTTTCATGATCTAATTTTTCTACAGAAAATCGAGCTTTCAGATAATCAACTCTTACAAATAGGACAAAAAGCCTTCTGGAATCTGCCCGGTCTGCAAACTTTAACCCTTGATGGGAATAATCTTACTAATCTCGATATGAAGAGTTTTGAAAACCTACCGAAATTAGGTAGCCTTGAGCTCCAGAAGAATCCATGGAATTGTGATTGCTACCTAAAGCCTTTTCGCGATTGGACAATTCAACGCAAGCTTTATACCAAACCAACGTCCTGTGAATATCCTTTGAGTCTTCTTCACCAAATGTGGGACGAAATATCTGATGATGAATTCGCTTGCATTCCAATCATATATAATATTGGCATCATGCCACTAAGCAATTATGATAGTAGCAATGCTCATCTATGGTGCAGAGCAAGTGCTAAACCTAAGCCCCAAATCACGTGGGTGCATCGCCAATGGGTATTATCTAACAGTACCAAACGTCACAATGGAAATAAGAATTACATTGTATTAGAAACAGACGATTGGTCTAATCTGACTATTCCTGGTGTTGTTTTATCTGATAAAGGCGAATACATTTGTAGGGTTAAAAACTTTGGTGGAATTGTTGAAAAAAACGTTAGCCTTATTATAGGTGAAAGTAATACCGAGAAAGACAATGTAATAGGATTGCCCCTTGCTATTGGACTTGGTCTTGTAGCTTTCCTGTTTTTATTAGTTACCTTAACGCTTTGTGTATGTTACTGTCGACGAAGACGAAATCAGAGTGACCCAAAAAGCATAGAAGCTACCTCGCTCGATCATCATGGTCTTGGAGAGCAAAAATCCTTAATTACGGCGATTAACCCAGTAGTTAAACCACCTAGAAGGTGCGAAGCTCCGTCTGTTACATCTCATGGCACCGAAATGACCGAACTCAACCGTACTTTGCTTGATAATGACTCAGTTTTCAGTAAGTATTTAAATTTAAAATCTATTTATTAGCTAATAGTACAGTAATTTTCAATATTAACTCGCTTTTTTTCTTCAATTTCAACTTTCACTGAAATCTAATTATCATTTCATCTGATCAAATTTACTTCTATCTATTATTCATATTTGGAATCTATCTCATTTTAACAATAATTCATCAATTTTGAAATACTTTGATATGATCCTTGGCATATTATATAAATATCAATTTAAGTTATAATTATTCCAAGCATTAAATATTATATTCAATTAAATTTGATATTCTGTAATACATAATTTTAATTTTTGTAAAAATTAAATTCACTTAGTAATTGATATAATATTGGTTAATTAAGAACACGAATTCTGCTATTTTTATATATTTTTCCAAAATATAATATTTTTCCTGGGACTATAAGAATAAAATTTCCAAAAAATACATAATTTGTACATTTAGAAATTAATTTATTAATGGTTTTAAAACTTTCTAATCTTTAATTTATTAAGGATACTTTTATTTTTGGAAGTTTATTATTTGTAGCAAACTATTGCAGCATATAGTTTAAAGATTAATTTATTGTCCATTTCATATCATTTCCCTTGTTTTAAAGTAAATATAACATATTTTTATAACAAAGCTCCTTTTAATATCTTAAAATTAAAAAATAACTATTAAAAATAAATCAACTTTTTGTATTTAAATAATAGTTCTTTTCCTATGCTAAAAATTTATGTAATCCATTAAAGTATTCTATTATATAATATCTCCATACTGCTTCACGTAATACATGATCATTTTTCCTTGATGATAATATTATTTCTAAATATTTTATTTTTTAATAATTTATTACAGTTAAAATACTTATCATCGATCTCCTTATTTATTCTAATATATTATCCAAGTTAGTATTATGATATTCTTACACAATCTATATTGGGTAAAATGCCCAAGATGTGATATTCAAAGTTATGCAAAAATTTGTATGACTATTACAGTTTATATATATATTGTATAATACTCGGGATTTGCTCAGATGAAATACGAACTACTATTACAATTGATACATTTGCATAAGGTTTGGGAAAAAGGAAATCAGGATAAAGAAGTACGCAGAAATAGAATTTCTCAGTGCTAAAAAATATGATCATCAACCGCTATTTGTCGAAATAATCTACGCAACCCAGGAGTAAAATTGGGCGTACTTGCAAGTGCTAATCTCGTATCTTCATTGCATGTACGATTAATAATTGCGGTTATCTACTTTTCTTGATTAAATACTGTATTACCTTCATTTCTTTCAAATAAATATAAATTACTAAAATATTATTCCACGTAAAAATTTGATTTTATCATTAATAATAAAATTTTTGTCAAATCGCAATTACAAATTTAAACTAGTATTTTTTGGATTATAATAATTTATTATGCGATCGTTTAAAGCAAGGCGAATATAAGAAAGTATATTAAAATAGTTCATGCGTTAGTGGAAGGTGTGTGCGATCGACGCTATTTTTTAATCTCAGTCACTAATTTAACTCCAAGGAGAAATTGAGAAACACCAAGAAAAAATTTTCTCTAAACAATAAATTTTTAAAGAGATTTAATGTAGATACATCATCAATCCTTTAAGTCCCATATAGGAGCCGCCATAATCCAAAACATAAAAAGCTCGTGTAATAGAAAGTCTTACCATATCTTTTTAGCCGATGGAGTCGGTAGCGTGATGGGTGTCCTAGCCAACGGACTGAACGACGAGGAAAGAGGCTGCGTCACTCCGGAACTTGACTCTATGCTAAGCGGACCCGGTTTGACTGGAGTTGGCGTAACCCACGGAGGCAACAATATCGGCGGTATCGGTAGTCTCTTACGATGTGCCACATCTTACCGCCAATATCCTCCGGACCTACTAGCGTTCTCGGCTGGATGTAATTCCTCACCAACGAGCCAGACTTCGACGGCACCAGACAGTTCCAGGTTGCCCAACCAGACTGGACTATTTAATTCGCCGGCATCCCCTTCGACGTATGCGTCAGTAGGATTCAAGACGCTTCCACACCCCACTCGTGCCAGCTCTGCTACGCCTTATAGCTTAGGCCACTTGCATTCATCGATGCCACGCCATGGTTACATAACGATTCCTAGACGACCCAGGGCGCCCAGTTGGAGTAGTGGGCCACCGATTTCTTCTACCGAACGAGGTTAGTACGACCATTATCGATAACTCCCAACGTGCCATTCCTCATCCGATTTGAAATTCAAAGCCCGCGGCTCCGAAGAAGCATTTTTCTCTTTTAAGTAGACTCGCATTATGAGAAACTTATTTGCTATATTTTTTATATATTTATGTATTTATCGGTGATTATACATATAACGGTCACACGTTGTTATATAATAATTGGAATAAAGGCGCTATAAAATATTTGATTTAAATAATCAATAATCGATTCTGCCAGATTCTTTATTCAATTTTTAATATAAACAGTGTAAAGAACATCTGGATTATAAACATACTTCCCCTTTTTTAATTCTCTTTTTATATACGAATATTATTAAAATTCCGAAAGTCTATCTTTTAATTCAAAATAATTGCATGCGATACAGTAAAATCAGTAGTGGTTTTTCATAATAAATCCTATTAATTTCAAGTAGTTCTATACTACCATTAACGAGTACTTTCGAAATATACATTAAACCTAGATATTCATAATATTTTAAATAAACTTAAATAAATAAAAATGCATTATAATATAGTTTTTAATGTTATTTATATACTTTCAGTAATAGTCTGATTATCAAGTATGTGTGCAAAACATGTATTATATAATTATAAAATAATATATACATTTTATTGATTGTATTTAAAGATTATTTTGATTATATTAACTATGGAAACAATATCTATATTTCTCAATACTTAATGAATATTCTATATATCTATTTTTATTGATATATTAGAATTTTTGCTCAAAAATTGATTAATACAATCATTAAAAAAACTAAGAAGCATAAATGATATATTAGCTTATAGTACGTAAATGATTCAAAATTCGCGATTTAATGCTGTTATCAAATATTATTAAGTCATTTAAAATACGTCTTATAATTTTAAAAATAATGTTTGTGATTTTGTTTATATTTCAAATGATATATAAATTTCTAATTATTATATTCTAATACAAATTACTTTGATTTACTTTAATTCTAACTTATTATATTTAGTTTCATCGTACAACTATGAAAGTCCTTGGTTATTCATAAAAATAAATATGGGCTTCTTTAAATTAATATTTATAATATATATGACGTTCCTTGTAACAATCGTGTTATATAGTTTTTTAATTTTTATATAGTTATATGTAAAATGATAAATCTCGCTGATAAAATGAGAATCTCTAATGTTTTTGAGAAAATTTGCTTTTAAATTATTTTAAAAAGCTCAATGACATGATTAATTAATAAGATAACACAATAGCATAATTTGCAAAAAATAAATGTAGAATATAGTTTACATTAAGCCATATGGCTTATTATGAGATTATTATATTTTTAAAATTCTTATTAAGATATTAGAAAATATAAATACCACTGAATGATATAAAACTGTTCTTATTACGAACAATAATTACAAAATTAGAAGATAATCGTACCATATATAATTACAAAATTTTTTGAAAGTTTACACTATTAGTATTTACATTATAAAAATTATTTAAATTTATTAATAAAGTAAATTACTTTAGAAAAAATATTTAAAAACGTTTGATCCATAGGGATCATTTGAAATAAATTTAAAGTTTATAAAAATAGAAGATTCATTAATAAAATAAACCATCCGAAATACGCTCAATATCGTATTGGTCAATTTGAATAACAACAAATGAAATTACATCGATTAACAAAGCTTTATCTATTGTATTTATTGTTATAATCTTTCAATCGCAGAAAAATGTAGACACTCACGGATGAATTTGAATAAACGAATGACGAATGTCATAAAAAAATTAAATTAATATCTTCAAATATATAGGAATGTGAAGAAAGTATTATAAGATAAATTACTTATTATATATATATAAATTATAAGATAAATAGTATTACAATAAAATATATCTGTTCTGAAGATGATAAACTACAATAACATCAGCCTCAAGAAAATGACAATATAAAAATAATTGGACTAACACCTACAGTAAAATAGAAAATTAATTTATTAAAAAATGGCAAAAAAACCTTTTATACATGTAAAAATGATTGTACACCATATAATAATATTGCTAGGTGTATACATATATGAAGAGTCGTTGATATTTTAATTGAATTGACGTTTATTAAACACATTTTTTCGTGATATGTTTAGTAAAAAATTTAATTTGCTATTATTTTATATAATTTCTCATTTATAAAATGGCGTACGTAAAATAACTCAATAAGAAGCTATAAAATTTTTCAAAATACTGAACATCGTTTATAGCCCATTAAATGGTTGAACAATTTCGCAATAAGCGTAAACTAAAATACTGTTGGAATTTTTATGAAGAAGTTACACTTTACCAAGAACAGTTACAACTAAATATCAGAGATATTTTTATATATTTCATTTACAACCTTTATTATAGCCGCTGTTATTAGCGTAGAATTACTATATTTCCAATATCAATATTTTTGCTAATAAAAGAACTAGTTAATAAGAAGCGCCAAGTTGACTGATTGATTCTCCATTGCGGCTAATATAATATCGCTACATGCAGCACATAAAGCTAAGTAATTGAAATTGAGTGCTGCTACGACGGGGACAGAGAATGGTTCGAGAAGCTGACGCAGAAATTGAATGCTGTAAGTGGGATGGCCAAACTCGGTCTGGAAAAACCAGTATAGGAATAGAGAGAGAGAGAGAGGTAGAGAGAGAGAGAGAGAGAGAGAGAGACAGAGAGAGAGAATATCGCCCTTCATTGGCACACCCTGATTTCATCTGACAAAACAAATAGGCCAACTTTAATATCCGCAAAATTGTTCATTATTTAATACCAAGTAGATAGACAAGGGGCTATCTTTCTTTACAACTTTGTATTTTTTCATACTTTTTTGCATTGTAACTCATTTGCACATTTTTAAATTTAATAAAATATTTTACTTATTCTGTAAATGCCCTACGAATTTAAAGAATCCAAAAAACTATTTGTATTTAAATAGAAAAATCTGTTCGTAATAAATCGAATGATTATATATATATATATGAGTAAAGTAATAAAATCATTGCAGTCTAACTAAAAAGTTTGATAATTTACATAAACCCTTTTTATATAATGTATGCTAAATATATTACTCTTACGTAAGAATAGTAATAAAAATTTATGAGTTTATCCTGATATTTATCGATAAAAACTATATATTATTAATTTTGTATATATGCTAATTTTTTATCTTGTATATTACATCACGTCGGTAAAATGTATAGAATCAGCTGATTATTAATTACCACGATAGCAATATCAGTTTACTAATAAAATTATAATATTAGTACTTTATGCCCGTTTAAAAATAAAGAGAATAATTATTTATCTATTTTAACTTTGTGTTATCGAGAATAAGTGATTAAATTTACTACAAACAAAAAAAATATTTTGAAGATGTAGAGAAATAAATTTAAAATACATCATTAAAATAAACAACTTTCTTTGAAAAATCCAGCATTTTACAATGCACCATGTCACATAATGTTGTGATCATAATAACCCCTGCAGAGTAATGATTAAATTATAATTCAAACATAAAACAAAACAATTGCTCAGATGCAACGTGTAAAATATGATTCGGAAACTCGAAATAATTTTCCAGCTAAAATGAAAATTCCAGCCAATACGTTTGCATAATTGAAGCGATTTATATAATTGCGCGTGATCATCTTATTCGCATTGAATATTTTCGTCTTGGTGATAAACTAACATTGCAGAGATCCTGGAACCCGTATACGATAACCTCGGGCGACGTACGACCGCCGATGGAAGCTCAGTGCCATCGTTAAACAAAAGTCCAGAACCCGGTTTATCGATGAGAGGTCGACCTCTACCTTCGACACCGAACACCCCCTCTTCTTCATCCCCACATAATGCTTTATCACTTCCGCGGCCACCTCGCAACTTGCAGTTGAATCGGTCGGCACCGGAAGGTGCAGCCGAATGGACAACCAATCACATCGACGAACAGCAGCAACAACAGCGAAGGCAATCGCAAAGCGACAATGAGAGCGAGCATTCGCAAACGTCAACAATAATGACGAAAACACTGGACAATTGCCCAAACGCAAATGCGTTATCGCGTAAAGTGCCGCCAAGGCCGCCACCGAAACCTAAAAAAAAAAATTCCACTAACGGACCTCTCTACGAAGACGAAGGCGAGGACGGTACAGAGGTACGTTTCATATTCGAAGTAATCAAGAATATTATTTAATTAACAAATTCGTCACAATATCATTTGGGAAATTCATTTTCTAAAAATAATAATGCATATTAAATTTTGAATTAATAAATTACAAGCAATAAAATCTAGAACTTTTTAAATTGATCGTATTAATTCATTTCATCAATTTATAATGAAAATTTACATGAACTTTCATATGAATAAAATTGAAATTACTTTAAAACAAATGAGAAAATGATTTTAAACGAATGATTGTTATAATATACCAACAAAGTTCTTAATGATACATAATGTAATTATAAATAAATTGCGAGGAAAAACATTTTCTTAAATATTTATAAGTTAATACATTTATTTTCAAATTTAACTTTGTGTTTTTATATTGAAGAAATATATATCCTCTAATCATATGTCTATTTAGTTTATATAAAAGATTTTACTGGTATAATAATTATGAACAAAATTATTACATTTTACATATAATATTTTTATATTCTTTATTTATTTATTCATTCATCCATTTGTACAAAATAATTATTAATTATTAATAAGTAATTAAGCGATAATTATGCTTTTAAAAACTTTTTATTAAATATATTTCTTTTAAATTACACAAGTCATTTTACAAAATGATCGAAAAGTTCTTTATTCTACTTATATCCTTTAATAAATATAATGATACTCTTTCATCCAAAGTATTGTTTTATTCATTTTGTTTGTTTTAGGTGTGATTATTGCAATTAGTCGGCGAGTATTTAAGATAGCAAGTGCCAAATTGGCTGAGCTATTATAAATTGTTACCGTTGCTAGCATAAACTTCAATATTTGCAATACAGGACCATTAGTGCCTTTACGAATAATTCGCGGCAAAGACTGAGTTGAGAAACCTAAATGCCATGTATGAATGAGGAAAACATAACTGTCGAATAGAACATAAGAGGAAATCAGGGATATAAGACATAAAACATGTACAATAAATAGTAAATAATGAAGTCTCTTCGATTTATTTTCAGGGCTTTTAACACACTAACGTACATCCAAAGACAAAGAAGAAAACACGAACGCGTCAATAAAGAGAAAAAATAAAGCCTAACATGTAATAAAAAATTCCAAAAATAAGAAATTATAATGTGTGTGTATATATATGCATGTATAATAACTATACTATCAATTTTTTACCATATATGAAAGAGATAATACGCTATATCATTGTATACGTAGTATCATTTGCATAATATTAAGTACTGATTATACATTGAAATGCTAGTTTAAGCTTTGTTTATATATTTTTTTTATGATTTTTTTGTTTTTATTATTTTTATCTCATTTGATGAAACGATTTATACACAAATTTTTTTTTATAAAAATTGCGAATAAAAAAATGAATAGATTCTGAATAATATTTACAAGTGTTAAATATTTTTTAAATTCATTTTGAATTAATTTCATTCAAATTTCGATTTAAATTTGTTTAGGGAAAGCATATATAATTTATTTCAGTTCTTACTTCTAAGAAAAAGAATAACTTTTTGTTAGCTATATACTGAATATTTATTATTCATAAAATTATCTCAAGTATTAATTAAATAATTTCAATTATTTTTTAAACAATATTAATATTAATATAATTTTTATACTCGAATTTATATTTATTATACCCATGCACAAATTATGTTTATTATTGTTAAGTAAATCGATTGAATCTAATATTTCATAATATTATATATACATAAAAAAAGAGGTAAATTAATATTAAAAGAAATATTAAACTCAGTGCAGCATATAGTATTATAAGTAATCGTAAACGATTACAGTTTTTAAACCAGAATTTGAATAAGAATATTTGAAAAGTTATAATACTTACCGAACATTAAAAATTAAGTGAATTCATATTAGTACAATTATAATGGAAATAAGAAAATATCTTTTTTTTTAGAAAGTATGTCAATTTTAAAATATCCCGTTGCAAAAAAAAGAATATTTGACTATTTCATAATTTATGAAAAACAATTAATTACCTCCTTAAAGAAATACCTCTGCTTTGACGTATAATATTATATCATTTTTTAGGAAGTATTATGCATACATATTAATATTGTATATATTTTTTTAGTTTATAAGAAATTCAAATTTTGTTTATATAATAATTTTTTCATTATGATAATCACTTCACAAAAACTATAACTAATTTACTTATTTCTACTTTATCTGCTTTATTATTAAAAATGATTTAAAATGTATTCTTATGGAATATTACATTGCTGTCTGTATTCAATATACAATCGAAGTTTAATTAAAAGATAATTAAAATTTACTCATTAAATTATTAATTTTATATACATGATAAAATAATTCAATATAATTTTTTTTATATACAATTTTCATTATGTAATAATTATTTTTATTGCAGTATAATATTCAAACGTAAACATTAAACACAAAATCTGAATTAATTTTAAATTTGTTATATCTTATCTTAAAAATAATATTTTCTGTTAAATAGTTTGTTATAATGAAATAAAAAGAGTATCGAAAGAAAATCTGAGTTAAAATTATGAGACAAATCAAATAGAAAATTAATTAAACCAATTAATTTATTTGAAATTACCTTAAAATATTTTTTAATTCCTACATATTCAGTATATTTTCTAAATTTTATGAAAAATTTATCAACTCTAAAATTTGTTATTTCCAGACAAATTACAAATATAATAATAATAATAATAATAATAATAATAATAATAATAATAATAATAATAGATCAATAAACTAAGAAAAATATATATGAATTTAAATAGATTATTTTAAAATTAAACTTATTAAGTTATCAGTACACAAATTTCAATCTATTTGAAAAATTATTGATAATAATTATTTTATTTCTTATATAAAATTTTATTACAAAAGAAGTTGTTAACTAAATTTACTTAAATGATTCCTTTAAGTAATAAATCAATTAATAATAATTAACAAACAGCTTTGCTTAGATTTAACTATATTTGTATAATTTATAAATCGATAATTCATTCCTATTTGTTTACTAAAGCTTCATTTTTATTTGACTGTCTGGTTGTTTTAGTATATTATCTAAAAAAAAATTGTAGATTATTCAATATATATGTAAATTTAATTTTTAACTTTTTAATTAGAAGTTGACAAATTAGTAGCAAACAGTATTTCATTATTTAAAATCTAAATTATATTTTAATACATCAGTGTGAATATTTTTGTGAGACTTTTAAATATTAAATTTAAATATATTAAATATATTAGCACAGTTACATATAATAGAATTTATAATATTAGTTATGTTTAAACATTTTAAAAATTTATATTCTATAAAATAATGTTTTATTTTAATTTAATTTTAATGTTTACACTAATTCATATTATTAAGTAAATTTTTATTTAACTTGTACATATAAAATCATAGTTATACGATATATAAAGATTATTAAATATTTTAACAAAATATATTGAAACAATAATTTTCATGAATATTAATCAAATTCAAAATTATGAATTATCTTTTATTGAATTACAATCTATTCATTCAGAATCTTAATACAGTTGCTACTAATATCTTATATCTCAAATTTTAAATTCATCTCTTCGATTACAATAAAAGAAACGTAAATTTTATTGTGATTATTAATTTATTATTTAACAAAAATAAAAGCAGAATATAAAAGGATATATGTTTAAAAATATCCATAAAGAAAAATTAGAATCATTTTGATGGTATAAAATAATCTGTGTGAATTTTTAAAATTTATATTACAATTAAAATATAAACCGAAAAAGAATCTATAAATTAAAGAGAATTTAATTATAATAGAAATTTTAGCTTCCAAATAAACAACTTTTAATTCGCATACACAACTATTTTTATTAAACATCTACGGTAAAAGAACATCTATTTAATAATGAATCATAGCTATTTTCTGTGATCAAAATAAACTTCAGATAAAATATTTTTATATTATGATTGGTCTTTAATAAAATAAAAATATACATATTTATATACGCACACATGTATTGTAAATATATTTTCTTCAAAATTGTATTCAATCATTTTCGTGAGATCACGAAATTAACTCTATTACTGACTTATGTACAAAATCAGTATAATAAACATACGATAAAATATAAATTCACAAAGATCGTTTGCTTACTGGTTGATTCTGGTAAAGGAGAAGTTAACAAATTTATTTAAATATAAAAATAGAAAAATGTAATCATTAAGCCGTATAAAGACTGAAAAAATAATGTAATTTCAGAATATGAATTCTAAAATACGTTCCATAACTTAGTATATAAGAAGCAAGCAATATTTCTCTTAACTTTGTAATCTAAAACACATATATTCTTATAATAAAAATGCCATGTTTAACCATAAAATATAAATATTAGTTAAAAAAGAATAGTAACACAAGTTTTTCAATAAATATTTATTAATTTATATAAGTATTAATATTTATTAGTTACGCATAAATTAATTTTTCAATATATAAACTCATTGCGTTAATAGAAAATAAAATAAAAAAAAGTAAAATTCTTGAAGAATATTTTATGATATAAATTATATTTTGTAACGATATATTTGAACAGCAGAATAATATTATCGTTGAAGAATAAACAAAAAATTTTGTCTTGATTTAAAATACATTATCTGTTAAAAATATAATAATTATTATTATTTTTAATATTGTATTTATTACTTTTTATATAATATTTTTATAATTATTGTAACTGCTTTATTATGCAAATGATACAGAATTTTTATAAAATATATGTATTTTAAGAACTTTTTATAAAAATATAAAAGCAAAAATATTAGTGAATCGTTTTATTAAAAATCAGTTTGTAAAATTTTTATGCAATGCAGATTTTTTTACAATCTAGGGAAATTTAATTGTTTTTAGATAATTTGAAATTATAATTCAGTATTGATTTTATATCAAAGTTTTTGTACAGAGCTAATAAATAAAGAATATATTGATTAGGACACATTAAATTATTTTATATGAACAAAATTTTGTACATTATGTAAAAATGTAAAAGAATATATAATACTACGAAATAAACAAAAATATTAGTTTTTATTTCATTGTGTTCATGTCTCATTTTTACAATGTATTAAACTGATAATATTTTAAAGATTAAATCATTGTTCTCAAATAAATTTCACTTGAACATGTTACATTTTTTCTTATTAATTATTTTTATTTATAATTTGTAAATAAAATCTATTTTCTAATTTTAAATTAGATAAAAGTAAGGTAAAAATTACAAGGTAGTAAATATATGTATAATTATAATAAAGATAATAAAGAGATTTTTTCAGATAACGAAAATTACAAGAAATCTGAAATTTTAGGATTTATCATGTAAATCGATAATAACAAGAAAGTAATTTCATTCGATCTATAAAATATTATAGTTTCTTTTTTAAAGCATATCAATGTTTTGATTGTATTAAAAAATAAATTATTATTGCAACGCGCCTGTTAGAAGTTAAATATATAATTTCCGAGAGAAAAAAATAATTTTTTAAGAAAATATATAATATAATCTTCTGTTTATGTAAATACGTGTTTAGCAAAGCACATATTATTTGAAAAAACATTTAATTATAAAAGAAATGTGTAAGAAATATATAAAAATATTAATATATCTTATAGTATAAAATTATATACGTCATCTTATATCAAAGGTAACAAGAAAGTTAATATTAAAATTTTAATATTAATTTACTATTATCTTAAAAATGTACTTGTCAATAGGATTAGTTTTTCTAATTTTAAGGGAAATATTTCATATTAAAGACTTTTTCTTTTTCTTCGTATACTCTAGAATCAACTATTGTAATTACTAAGTATTACTCAATATTTTGTCTTCTTTTTCTTTTTCTTCATATATACTAGAATTAACTATTGTAACTACTACATTTATAGATGGATGCTTGACATCTTTAAACAAATATTTTCTTTCAAATGTCCTAATTTTTTAATATTTAAGCAATCAGTAATCTCATAATGTTGACTAATGTTAGATTAGGAACAGTTATAATTCTCTTTGTATATTTTTATAAAACTTAATGATTACAATAAAATAATGTAGCATAATAATAGTAAATAATGCGTACATCTTGTTTTTCAAAGAATTGATCGTAATCGATTATTGATATACGTTGGCATGATAGATCCAAGTAGTGTAAATCATCGGTATTAGTATTATCATAGCTGACATAAGAAATCCTGGTGAATATACCTCGTAGCCTCTGTGTTTTAAGCACTTTGTTACAAATTAAATTATTTTAAAACATTTAAAAACTTTAATAGTCTTTGATAGAACGTTAAAAAATTTAAGTGATTTTAATTAGGGTTTGTACTATTGATTTCATATTACTTTAGTAATAAAAATATTAAAATTTGTATAAATCGAATTCTCAAAACACATGAAAATTAATTATTGTGCTCAAATTTCTTGTATGATGCTTAGTAATATTATTTGTATGATTATTCGATATAATAATGAGTGAAAAAGTTTTTGACTATGAAATAAAGTATTGTATTTAAAGTTATTAATATTGATTTGATATGAGCAATAATAAGATTAATAAAATGAATTGTTATTTTAATCTTAATAAATATTGAGTAAGGTTATGAAATTTATTATATAATTGAATTAATAAAACGTTGGTATCGAAAAGTAAAATTATTTTTAAAATAATTCATTTACGTTACTATTACTCAATATTTTGTTTTTCTTTTAAAAATATAATGATTGATATTTTTATCAATATTACAAAATTATGTTTAAATGAATTAGTATTAAATATAATTACAGTAATTATACCAATTCTTTTTACATATATTAAAATGTTTTAATTTAAATATTTATCGTAATCATTTTTACTCTACTGAACAAGATTTTGTCGTGAGATAAATAAACTGACCATAAAAGTGGAGGCGATTTTTAATTCATTTCCATTAACACATACATCGACATTAACGAATGATTAATTTTGACATGCGAGTAAATTTTATATTTGTCATTTAATAAGATGTATTTTAAATTTCAATTTTAAGGAACCATCCGTAAACCAACTACAAGGATCGTAAACTAAAAAATAAGAATTTATTATACATGGATTGAAAAATAAATGAAAACTAAATGCAATTGCTAAATTTTCGATTCTACATACAGAAAAATAAATTTCGCCACGTGAAGATGAAGGATGTACAGCTTTTAAAATTCTACGTTTATGATTATATATGGATGTAGTGGAGACATAATGTGATAATACATTGAAGACAAAAAATTGCTTCGTTTCAATTTAATAAAATTTATTGTTTCTAAAAAAAGGGATCAGGAAAGATATTGTCCTGTTTAAAATAACATGTAGAAAAGTGTATAATTCATGCTCGTTTTATTTATATACATTTTCATCATAGTTATTACTCAAATTATTTACAAAATTAAGTTTTAACGGAAGATGCTAATACGCTAACACCTATAAAAATAATTTTGAAAAATAACCGCTTTACTCTTCATGCCACTTATGAATCAACACCTAAAAATAATTTTACTGATATATTTGGTAATTTATCATAATCCCGGTCACCACCTTTTCAATTCAATACACTAACAAAACAACCATAAAAATAACGAGGTTTCATTTTTTGATAAAAAATCTATTTTTAACTTACATAAATTCAATTATGTATTGAATGTATTTCGTTTCCATAAAAAGGCAGTGAAGGCTTGGAGATAATACAAAAGGAGTAATTTCAACTTTTAGGCACCAGCACACAACTCCGTTTATGTGTCTTCTTTATACTCTCACGAACTCGTCAATACAATCCCTCCTTTATACATTTTTTAGTAGATGGTAGTACTGCTAAACTAATTTATATAATTAAACAATATCGGGTTACAAAATATATTTTGCGTCACTAGCAAAATAATAAAATAACATTTATAGATTAAATAGAGGATTCGTAGGTGTGGATACATAATCGATAAATTCTCATTTTTGTTTCATTCGGTTATGATTTTTAAGCTAAACTATCAAAAGAAGTTATAAATATTTGTAATATATATGACAACTTAGTTTTAAAATAAATTGTGATTGTATTCTTAAAATTTATTATAAAGAGTTGATAAAAGTTTATTAAAAAGTTTTTCAATACGTAACAAGAAAGTCTTGTATTTAGTGTTAATGAAAATTAAGTGAATTGATTGAGTAAATTTTGTATTGTAAGAAGGAAAGATATCTTGACACTTATAGTACTAAATAAAAATAGGTCATGTAATAGAGTACAAGTGAAAAAATTAAATTATTGTAAATAAATTAAATTTTAATTAAATTTTCCTTCCTTCAAATAAAAAATTTACCTAATTTTTATTAATACTAAATATAAAATATTCTTGCTTAATCTTGAATAACTTTCAAATAAATTTTTAATTTAATAATAAATAAAATTAATTTAAAAAAAAAACAATTACAATTTAATTTTTTCAATATATGTATATCATCTGTAAAATAAATATTTGGTTTAAAAATATATTAAAGAATAATTATTTATAAGAAAATTATTAATTCTAAAATATAACAGATTTTTTATTTGTAATATTCTGAAGAATTTTATCATCCTTAGTAAATATTTTTTTAAGATTCATCATCGCCATATTTCCTAACTTCTTGAGCAAATCCTTTACAAACGTGTCTTTCAATTCCTTCAAACACCTATAATAACAATATATACTCAATTAACATATAGGTTTTATGAAATAAAAATCGTTTAATTATATCTTTGAATATAAAAAAAACCTTCTGTAGGCAGGATTTGTTCTGAATTTTCCAATATCGCGACTCGGTGCATGTGGTCGGTGTATAATAAATGTATCGGGCAAAACGATGTATCTTAAAAAAAATATAAATTCAAAAATTGAAACAAATCAATATTGTATTAAATTAATGGTGTTAGCAATTGCATTATTAGTGAAAAACATACATCTTTATTTTGTCACATTCAGTTATTGAAAGTGATAGTATGATATCACATAATGATATATAAATAATAATAGGAAAAGAAAGCAAGAGACAAAGAGTAATCTAACGCAAACTAATTCCAATATTATAATAGAAAAATTATATATTGAAATAAATTCAAATTAACATGAAAGTAAAGAGAATGTTTAAAAATCATTATAAATAATCAATAAAGAAAAACAGAAAATAGAGGTGAATGCAGAAAAATTATCAATTAAAACAATTAAAAGACGGTTCTCAAAAAAAGTGATATGATATCAAAGAAAAAATTGATATTAAACATAAAAAACAAAAATATTAATGTTTATATAATAAAAAAATAATAGTAAAAAAAATGCATGCAAAGAAAAAAGTAGACATGAAATAAAGACAAAAGAGGGTCTTGTAGAGAAATTAGACAAAACAGATTTTGTTTTTTATGAGCAATGCCTTGAAGACATGGTTACATACAAACTCTTCCTGACCGGACCTAACCACTACAGATTGTGGCTGATGGTAAAAAATAAAAAAGATAAAAAAAATAAACTGGAAAAAGGTCGTCCTGGGGTTGAGGGATTGGGAAAGGGGCGATATATTTAAAGATTCGGTAGTTCCGTAAGCTACTAGTAGAATAAGACCGCATCTCTACCATCAGGGTACAAGCCCTTTTATTATGATTATTATATTTATTTCAAATGAAAATTATATAATTAATAGTAATAAATAATAAAGAACTACGCGCGAGCGTGCGTGTTTGTATGAAATTTTGAATTTTGTTACCAATAAGGATCAGTACGTAACAAAAAACAAATAGTACTGATAAACATTACTTAGGAAATGAATTTGATATGAAAAGTTTAAATCTCATAAAAATACACATGTAAAATAAAATGAACAGTGTAGATTTAATTAAAAAATAAAATAAAAATTAATAGATTGACAACATGTATAATAAAAACTAAAGTGAACAAAGGCATCAATAATTTTAAAATATGAAAATCTAAGTTTAAAACACTATGTATTTTAGAGAAGACAAAATATTTTAAAATATTTTGGAAAGAACAAGTGATTGATCAATTTAGACAATACATAACTAAGTATAGATATGTACAGCAAAGGAATATTGCACAGATGCAGATAAAATAGTAAAAATGTGGGATGAAAAATATAAAATAACGTTTATAAATTATTTTAAAAGACAGTCGAAAAAATCAAGATAATACAAAGCAACGGATTGAGAAATGTTTAAAAGTATAAAATAAGGAGAAAAACTAGAATAAATAAAAGTTAAAAGAATAGAAAATAAGAAAAATAGAAACACCGAAAAAAGTTAAAAGAAGAAGATAGTGTTATTAAAATTGCTAATATAATATAAAAGATAATGTAAAAATAAAAAAATAAGATAAGTATAAGTAATATAAATAAGTATAAATTATAGATAAATATAAGTTATTATAGATGAATCTTCTAACATTGAAAAATATAAAATTAAATAATAATACATATAATTCTTATATATATATAGCTATACAATCCATTTATATATGACATAATAAGTATTAAGAAATACGTTTACTTTTAAAAATTTATTTATATGAATACTATTATTAAATTTACTATTATGAATACTTTATTATTTCTTCTATATTTCTCTTTCTTTATTTATCTATGTCTCTTCGTATTGTACGTCCATACATATATAAACAAATATTACAATATTTAATAAATATTACCAATTATAACATTTATTTTTCATTTCATAAAATACATTTATAAATTTAAAAATTCTTTAGTAAATATGATGGTTCTAATTATCTAAAGTTTTTGTTATAAGATTAATACCTTGTATTTTCTTATATATAGTTCAAGTGTCATCGAAATAAAATTTATATATTTTTAATTATATAATTTATAATTTTAATATTTCCAAACGTAATTAAATTCACATAGTAGTCTCAAATATATATAATGCATTTATGCATTATTAAAATATTATTTCTAATTATATTTCATTTAGAATAATCTATTAAAAAATAATTATTTTCTGAATATTTTATATATTTTCAATTATATACTTAAATTGTTAAAATTAATATATTCAATGACTATAGACAAAAATTAAATACGAACAATTAAATATAGACAACAACAAAATGAAAAATTAAAAACTATATGTAAATAATAGCGAATATGTTAAAAATTGATTATTATTTGTCAAATAAATTTTTTTATATAATAATTCAAATATTAAAATATGTTACTAACAAAGTTATTTAATTTAAGAGTGTAAAATGCCTAGAGTTTAAAAATGGAATATATTAGGTCTCTATAATTAACATATTTATACAAATTATATAATTAGTATAGTAATGGTAATGAACTATATAAATAATAATATCAAATTATTTTGTATTAAATAACTTAAAGATGATAGTAACTTTATTCCATTGTAACAAATAAATTAATAAATATAATTAATAAATAACACTGTCAGACTATTAGCATTATCTAAATAATTATATTTTATCACACTTACTTATATCCTAAAGCTGTTAAATGTGTTATGTAAGACACTTTATTCCAACCAAATCCAATAAATCTTGTATCATAAACGGGGGATGATCTCGAGACAACGATATAAGGTTCAAAATCGGGTTCCCAAGAGATTTCATAAGGCTCGGTTGCATTTTTGTATAATGTAAAATTGGTTGGAGCATGACCTTGAGACCATACATGATAACGAAACGTATATAAAATACCATGATTCAAATAGCTTAAAACTTCTGTTTTTGATAATGGAAAACTAAATCTTTACAAAATAAAAAAATTATTATGAAATTGATTTCCAAATTGATTGCTAAATTTTGCAATTATGTGATTTCTTTTACCTATATCTTTGAGTCTCAAAGGCAGGTACAACAAGGGCAACATGATGAGATTCTGTTAAATTTTGTTGAATAATATAATTCATTAAATTTTTATATAAACCAATTTGAGGTAAAAAATCAATATCTAATTGAAAAATGTATGGCAACGTTATATAAGTCATAGCAACATTTCTCAAATAATTAACAGGATAAAATTCCTATAATATAAATTATATACTTATGTGTAGGCTTACAATAAACTATAATAATATATCATGTGAGAAAAAATAATGCAATAATCAAGATGAAATTTTTTACCCCTTCTTTGTAAACAATATGATAAGCAATATTTCTTCTATGCCTTAAATCTGGAGAGTTATGAACAAAATCTAGAAAACTTTGTACTTCAGCATCAGTCAAATAAAGAGCAATACTTATTACCCCTGGCCAATGTTTAGATAATTCTTCCAACAATACCATTCTGTCAATACTGCATTGAGTAGCAAGAAAAACATCAACAGGATTAATAACATTGTATTCAAATTCAAGATAGAAAGTATGAGTTCTATATATAATATTTCCTTCTTCTTTAAATTTAAAACATGGATCCATCTCATTATTCTAAAATGATATAATCACATAAATCTTTTTTAAAAATATACTTTTTTTTTTAATTTCAAAATTTAACATAGTGTTCATTTACTTGACTTGATGCCCTATTCATATCACAACCGAATAATCTTCGTCTTAGTAAATTACCATCGAGTTCTAAAAATATTTGATGCATTTGTTTAAAATCAAGTGTATATTTGTTCTTAACATTTTGTTTTCTTGGTGAATTCCAATGAATTGCCTAAATATACATTATTTTAATTTTTAAATGAGCATTAATTTTAAATAATAAATAAAAAGAATTTCTATTGCTTACATTTATCTTCTCAGCAGTATTATAACACATTTCACTTAGTGCATGATCGCTTAGTTGAACATTCCATGTACAATTTATTATATAAATAAATTGTGGATTATTTTTAATAACTGCATTAATAATATCTTGATCTGCTAAACTTGTTTCTAAAATGTCCTTTAAGACAGTTACAGTAGTACTTCTCCATAATTTTGTAAATTTTTTTTCCCGTAAATGTTGTAAATCCATTAGCATTACACCAGTATTAAAACCTTTACCTAATGCTGGCCATGGATGTATACTGAATAAAGATGGTATTATATACCAATTACTTTGATTTTCAACTAATCCTAAAACTTGTTCTTCATTAAAATTTTTAAATAAACTCCAAAGTAGCGATATGTCATTAAGAATTGTCACATCTGTATCTAATACTAATATTTTGCTTTCCTGTATTATATCTGGAAGAACAAGCTTCAATAATCCATATACTCCTGAATAATGCTTATTTGGAATCCATGAAACTTGTGGAATCCATTCTTCACTTTTATAGAACGATATTACAACTGAAAGTAACATTAGTTGTGACTAAATTATTTGTCTAATTAAATGAACTTTAATATATTTATTTCAATATTAAATATGATTTTGATCAATTAACATTATAATTTACACTTTCTTAATTTCAAATCATCATAATTATCAGTAGATAAATAGTTATTAATTTTTGAAAATTATAAAATTAAAATTATTAAGGTCAAATCTAAAATTTGTCAAATCAAAATTCAATTTTAAATACTTAAAATTATTTTGTGACTGAACTCTCAAAATATTTTAAAGTTTTATCTTACCATGTGGTATATTCCAAGTATTAAATAATATATTAAGGGTTTGTAAAGCAATTTCATCTACTAATAAGTGAAAATGTAAAGGCTTAGTACGATAAAATAAAATGGATTTTACAGTAGTTACAAGAGTAACTGTCGAATTATAACCTGCACATACTATTGCAATATGAATTGTTGAACAATCTTTTACCTAAGAATAATAAATGTAATAAATAAGAAATAAAAAATTGTTATTATTCAACAATCTAATACTTACTTTTGTATGACTGATAAAAGATTCTTTATCATTTAATGTAGAATAATAAAAAGTCTTTTGTAATTCCTTATTTCTTGATAAATCTAAATTATTTGAAATTATATATGGATTTTTTATAATTGGAGCTAAAATGTAAAAGGAAAAATTAATCAAATGTTATTAGTTATGAAAGCAAAATCAAATATATTATACATATTTATTTAAATACTTACCATTTATTGAGAGATACAAACAAAATACTATTGAAATAAACAATAGTATACAAAGCCATCCTACCCATGGTCGAACCATTCTAGTTTGCCATGCATATTTTGCAATATGAGTTATGATTCAATGTAAATATATAAAAAGGCTAAATAAATTACTATAGTATATATAAAATATCTTACTGTATTTTAGAAAGATAATAATAATCTATTAAGATAACTTGGTATCTTTCAAAGAAATGAAACTGAAATATATAAACATCCTTACTAACAGACGATAATATCATAACCTTTTATCATTTATGAAGAATAATTAACTTAACAATCATAACACATATTTTATAATGAAAAATTAATTTTCTAATTATCCTTTTCAATACTATTCATGCACGATCAAGATGAAGTATCGCTTGATTATATTATATCATAAGTTTTTATTGTGCATATTATAACAGCACAATATATAATCAGCGCTCATACACATTACCAACTAAAAGTACAGCGTTATCAAATGTAAAAAATCTCAATACATGGTTAGTAGTGATCGACTTTTAATTTATTTAAAATTTTATAAATTAACTAATAAGTATGAGATTTTAATTGAAGCAATATTTCAATTAAAAAATAAATTTTCATGTTAAAACTTTAAATTGAATTTTTATTTGAAGCTTCAAGTTTCAACTGTTTGGTCTAAATTCCCAAGTGCCCGCTCAATTTATGTAAGTTTCAAATTCTGAAATCTGCGATCAGAAACAAGCTTGTCAAAAGGATAAAAAAAATATGGCACCGCAAAGTAGCGTGGATGATTTGATAACTTATTTCAAAACCCATAATAAAGTTCGTGAGCATCAAAGTCATACAGCAAAAGTTCATAGTGTTGGGTGGAATTGCGATGGAAAACTTTTAGCATCGGGTTCTTTCGACAAATGCGTTTGCATATTTTCACTTTCACAAGATCGCTTAGTAAGTTTTAACCTTAATTCATTATTAAGATCAATTATCATGATTTAAATTTATCATAAAACATGTCATTTCATTGTCAATATCATTATTATTAAACAATTCTTTAATATTATCAAGAAGTTATTATTTTTATTTTAGAAACAAGAAACGACATTTCGAGGACACGGTGGTAGTGTAGATCAATTGTGTTGGCATGCATTCAATCCTGAACTTTTGTCAACTGCAAGTGGAGATAAAACGGTACGAATTTGGGATACAAGGTCTCAGAAATGTACAGCAAACATTAGTACGAAAGGAGAAAACATAAATATTTCATGGTCACCAGATGGTAATACTATTGCTGTAGGGAATAAAGAAGATTTAGTAACATTTATTGATGCTAGAGCTATGAAAATAAAAGTTGAAGAACAATTTAATTTTGAAGTAAACGAAATATCTTGGAACAAAGATTCTGATACATTCTATTTAACAAATGGACAAGGTTGTGTACATATTTTAAGCTACCCAAATTTGGAACTTTTACATGTTATTAAAGCTCATCCAGGAACATGTATTTGTATTGAATTTGATCCAACTGGTCGGTATTTTGCAACTGGTTCGGCCGATGCTCTTGTTTCTTTGTGGGATGCTGATGAATTGTGTTGTTTAAGGACATTTTCTCGATTAGATTGGCCAGTAAGAACTATTTCTTTTTCACATGATGGTAAATTGTTGGCAGCTGCATCAGAGGATTTAGTTATAGATATTGGCGAAGTCGAATCTGGTGAAAAAGTGACTGATATACCAGTTGAAGCAGCTACATTTACAGTTGCTTGGCATCCAAAACAATACTTACTTGCCTATGCATGTGACGATAAAGATAATTATGATAGAAAAAGAGATGCAGGTAGTTTAAAAGTCTTTGGATTTCCCAATGAAAATTAATTATTAAATTATTTGTCATATGTCAAGTAGAAGCATATATTTTTTATTACAAATTTAATCACTTTAAATTGATAATAAAAATATTTTAATAATTCCTTAATTTATAAATAATATTTTTATTGCTTTACTTTACTTTATAAATATATACTTAGTATTTAAGGAATTTTATAAAATAATATATATGGGAAACTATTTGTAAGCTTTTTTGTTTGTATATGCTTCGTTACTATGGATATGTAATGTGTCAACATTAATCTTTCATGTAAGAATGACTTTACTCTAATACTTGAATACTTTAAATCTTACTTTATTTTATCTGACCTTTATAATGACTACTGAACAACGAGAAACAATTAATTTTAAATTAGAAAATCACTTATCATCTGGTGATTACACAAAGAAAGAAATTAAAAAAGAAATTAATAAATGTACAAAAATATCAATGGAAAGTCATGTTGCTAATGAAGGAGAAGATAAAATAAATATAGAAACAAATTCAGAAATTGCTGACAATGAATCGGTATATGAAGAATCTTTTTACTCTGATCATTCTGACGAAGAAACAGAATTGGCAACCATAACACGTTACTCTTCAATGATGGAAATGCCATTGTTCAAATTCACAAGAATTCAATCCAATGTAACTAAAGAAAATATATTAAATTTCAATAAATTAGCTTCGGCATCAAATATTTCTGATAAATCTGATTTATTAGAAGACAAAGTTAAATATTTAAGTCTTCATGAAGTACAAACAAAAAATATGCGATCTCAGTCAATCCGAAAGAATATGAGTTTTACTAATGAACAAATAATGAAAATTGAACATGATAATGAGCTTTTGTTAAAAAAAATAATGTCTCAACAAAGTCCACAGAAAATAAAAAAACCACCTGTTCAAACAAAATTGTGTAGTAATGCAATAAATCGAAAAAAATTTCAAAAAAGGATTGAAGAGGATAATATTGTAAGTTATTTATATGAAAATATTTTCTTATTCATATTTAATGAGGAAATATAAATCTAATGTTTGATTTAATAAAAAATATTGATATTTAGGTGCTGCTTAGAAGATTACAACATGCAAAATCTTGTGTAATTATATCAACTAAAATACCTGGCTATAGAAGGATATATTTATGATTTTTAATTAAAATAAATATTCTAAAATGTTTCATATAATATGACTCGGATTAAAACGACTAATAAATATAAAATCAATTGCTTTTTAAATGATTCTCGTTTATTATTAAGAATATTTACAACTACTCAGATGTAACTTTACATAATAAATTTTATATTTAATAAAGTATTTAAATCTTTTATTACAAAGCTCAGTATTTATAATTTTTCAAAAAGCACATTTATAAATAAGTAATTTAATTGTAAAAAAAGTTATTCAAATACTAAAATAAATTTAAAATGATTAAATACAATTTAATTTTTTATAAATTAAGAAAATTAATTTAGTTATAAATGAGAAAAAATTATTCTTGAAAGAACTATCATAAATTTTATTGAAATAATTTTAATACTTCTTTTAAAACATAGAAATTTTAAAAACCTTTATTTTTGTCTACAATATAATTAAAATGTTTAGAAATTAAGTCAAAGATATTCTTAATAAATGTTATTTGTCGATTTTGTTTTGTGTAAATCACATGGAAAACAAAAAAGGTAAATATTTGATATCACAAACATTTGGTGCGCCACTTTTAAGACTCTTGTTATAGAATCTTTCAAAAAAATCATCGAAAATGAAGCAAATTTTATCACAAAATATCAATGAGTATCATTGATGACTTAGTCATTCCTTTTGCTTTGAAGTCCAAATATCCGACGAAGATGGTGTCCATATTGTACTTAATGATCGGAATGGATCAAAACCGGAACGCTCCTGTATTAAAAACATTTATTATATTGATGTGTTTATAAAGATTTCATAAAATTAAATTAATAATTATTACTCTAATATCAAAGCATTATCAGAAACATCCTATTATATATAAACAAAATATTTATGCCAGTACAAAATAAATCTTACTTGAATACTTAGTTCTTTTGATGGTGACAATGGAGCAGGATGCAAAGTTAACGATGGCGTTGGTGCACCCCATGGAGCAGCAGCCCATACACCACCTGTATTTATTCCCCAAACACCACTTCTTTCTTCTCCAACTGCTCCACGAGTATATAATGGTTCCCAATTAGTTTCTACAGTAACCCAGTTATCTACAATTGACATACAATTGATATTATTCCGAAAAAATCAGTAAGGCATTACATAATGTACGAGAAATAAAACAAACCCTTTATAGTATCTGGTAAATTTGAAATTTTCTCACCAGCCTTTGACGTGTCTAATTGTAACACTGTATTCTCAGAAATTAAATTAAGCATGTAATTACTATCGTTCCAAAGCTTGCAATGAGAATTATCCTCTGTATTTTCCAATTCGAGAAGTGGTTCATCAGTTTCTGGAAGATCATCATATGGCACTAGCTCTGGTTCATACTAAAATAATTATAATTATTATTAAAATACAATTTTATTCAATTTAATAATATATTTTTCCTTTGTATTTCCGTTTAATTTTAGTGAATTGCTGTACAAATATTTTGGTAATTAATTAAATTGTTAATTAAATAAATTTTTTAATTTCTTACATCATTAAAAAAAAGTATAAACCAAATAAAACTTAAGACTTATATTAATAAAGTTAATATAAGTTAATATAATATATATTACTTATATTAATACTTATATTAACTTATATTAATTATTATTCTACTTAGTACAGCAGAACAATAATTATTTGTTATAATAGACAATTTTTAATGATAGTTGGATTATTTCATGAATTAAACTTCAATTATTATTTTGTAACTATATTTGCTAAATATAATTCTCAGCAACTTTCTTCAAAAATGAAATAGTATAATTCAAACAACGCTATATAAATATAAACTAGATGAAATATTAAAATATATATGAAAGTAAGAAATTTATGATTGAAAATATAAAAAAAATATGTGTAAATTATTTTATATCAATTAAGTAAGTTTTCGAACTATTCATATTTTTATTTCAAAATCTGAAATTTTCAACATAATCTTGTTTTACTATATTAAATAACTATAGCAATTTCTAATTTATAAACTAAATATTTTCAAGTTAAGGTGTAATACAACTTACTGGTGGTTCATTGAATGTGTTTACAAAATAACTATTTAAATGACTATTTGAGTGCATTCCAAAAATTTCTGAATTACTAAAAGCTTCATTTTTATCATTGAATGTATTAGTCGATTTTACGTTAAATTTATACTCGTTAGAAGTTAAATCTTGAATTGTTTCATGTTTCGTTGATTCTGTACTTTCAACATCAAAAGATCCAGATACAGAATATGAATTTTCTTTATGTGATTTATTACTGTAATTCGAAAAGGGCGAAAGATTTTCCTGATTTCGTGCAACGACATCGCTAAACTTCGCTCGATTTTCACCCCAGCATACGGACGGAGCTGGTGGTAATGAAGAAGAAACTGTTGCATATAAGGGTCTGATTTCTTCTCTTTGAAGAGTATTCCCATTACTCACTAAAACAAAATTATATTGTATTTTATTAATACTCATTTAAATGTTGTTCTTATGAAAAACTATTTATTTAAATAATCTAATTGTGTAAAAAAGAAAAACAAGAATATAAACATTTTGACCTTTACTATTAATAAGAATAGGTATAAAATTAATTAAAACTTAAATAAATATATTTTGTTTTTACAGTATTTTTCAATCGTTAAAAAATTTGTATACTAAACTTTATTTTTCTATTAATTGTGTATTAATGACAAGGAAATCAAAAAGGACATATATAAAATTTAAATATACACACCTTTCGATTGATTTTTTTCAGCACTACGTCGTTTTTGTGAGCTTTTCTCTTTTCGTGGAAGATTTTGCTTTTGACGAGGTAATTTATATGATGATTCGGCATTGAGTCGTGTCAAATGATGCTTACCTCCAGAACGTGTAATACTCATCCTCCATCTATTTGGATTATCCTGCTTCTCTTTATCATAATCATCATCGTCACAATCTCCTTCGTAATTATCTTTATAGTCTAAAGATGGCATAGTAGGAATAGTTTGTGATTTAGGCTTCTTTGTTGTACATTTTCTCTGCACTTTTTCGATCTTATCGCAAGTATTTTCACAATCCTAGAACAATTAAACATGATAAAGTAAAAATAAATTATGCGTTTAGCAAGTAAACTGTAAAAGCCTTCCAAATGAATTAATTTATTGAAATAATTGATTTATATTATATATAAATATATATATAAATATATAAATTTTAGCTGTATTACAATATTTTAATTTATTTGTAAGCTTCTTTAATTTAAATGGTATTTCATTAGTTATTATAAAAGAAGAATAATTCCATAGATATGCAATAAAAAACTTTTAAAAACTAATAAAATTTATATATAAAGTATTGAACGTGTCAAAACTTGATATCTAAAATCATATAAAATATAAATGTAACTTTGATTTTTCTAGGATTAGTGATTTAAAGGAAACATCGATACATAATAAAATTAAATAGCTTACCATCGGTGCATTAAAATACATTTTTTAATAAAGACAAAATATTTTTTAACCTAATATTGGTACAATTTAACTTTGGAAAGCTAATATTCAAAAATATAATGAATTAATTATTCAAAGACTAATATTAAATTTCATGAGTCAATACTATTTATTGAACAATACTCAACATCAGTACTAAGATTGTAAGTAAGTTAAAATTTTTTTATTAACAATAAAGATGTAATTACCTTATATGCATTATCTTCTTGAATAGAGCTCTCAGTTGTAGTGGAGGAAGTCTCTTCTTCGGAATATTGCATGACTTTTTGACTAGTATTGACATCATACTTTCTAAAAGCATGATGATTATTATTAGTATTGATGTTACCACCGACGTTATCGTTAGACTGCTTTCTTTTGCTCGTATCATTCTTGACATCTTTTAAGGCAACACTCGTAAGCACACTACTTGTATCTACTTGAACCTCGTGATCTATAAACTTTACTTCTTCATCCCTCGACGTACTATAAGACTTACCCTTCCTATTCGTTATAGGGCTTGACTTGATTAACGAAGAATTCTTTTTATCCGCTATTTGAATATCAACCACACCAATATCCGATGCTGCGGTCGTAGATTCTGACATGATATCTTGTGCATTACAACGCTTATTGCTTCGCTTTTTTGAGCAGCTTGAGCTGTCTACAGTTAACGGGGCAACATCCAGACATCGCCTTAACGAAGGTGTATCTTTGGATTCCGTATCGATTCTAAATCTACGTTCCTCTTCAAGAGACCAATCAGGTATCTTGATCCCTTTGTTTACCTCCTTTTCCTTATTGCGCTTAACATTCATAAGACTCCAATCAGGTAACGAGTCGTCCTTCTTACTGAGTTTGTTACCAAACGATCTATTATTGTCATCTACCAAAGCCATTAATTTTTCTTTGTTGTGTTGATGGCTGCTTGTTTGTAAGGAGTGCTGTTGAATCGAAGATGAATGGGACAATAATCTCAAGTCTAGTGGAGGTTGAGTTGGATTACCCCGAGACATGCTTACTAAAGCACCTCTTAAAATACGATCGGCTTCCAGAAAAGCGGTGGCTAATAAATAAAATAATAAACTTCAACTTTACAACGAAACAATAATTTTTTCAATGATACAAATATTTTTTCTTAGATAAATGTTTAATATTTATTGTAATTTAATTTCTTATTTGATTATTGTTTATTTTAATTATTATTTAAGAAATTAAATTATATACTGATAAAAAACAATTTTTTCACTTTAGTTTTAAACAGGTTTATTGAATCTGTCATTAAATATATATATTTAATACTCTTTAGAAACTAAAATAAGTAAAAATATCTAATTGCTTTGTATTGCTACAACTTCTTAACAACGTAAAATCAAAGCAACAAATACTTCATAAAATAACTTTTTTTCACATCTTTCGTATTAGTCTATTAATATTAATCTTAATATTAAGAATGGACAATAAAAACAGCAAATATATAAGCAGTATAGAATTTCACTTTTACATTTTAATTAATCAATCCTGTCATTATTTAAACTCTTGAAAATTAAATTTTCAAATTTTCAAAATTGCTAATCATTAAAAAACGTGCATATATAGTACTATATATTTTATTAAAATTTAATTATTTATGTTTTTATAATTTTATGTAAACACATTTTATAAATATTTGTTAGATTACCTAATACACATACGAACAGTACTAATGTGAGCCCAGTGGCTGTCCACTGGAGTGCATTCTCCCAATTTGGCCGAGCGATCATCATAGCACATGCCTCCAATGCGTGATGTGGTACGGTTGTGAGCAAACTCAATCTAACCATACCATTTGCAAGGTCAATATTTGAGTCGATTTTAGAACCTAAGCTTGTCTGTATAAAAAGATTGCGCTCAATACGCGAAAGTGTGAAATCGGGCGTGAAGGCTATTTCGATTTTCTTCGTGCCATTTGGTTGAAGAGTAAAAGGCTCACAATTAAGTACTTTGAATCCGTAGCCCTCGCAGGCCAGTCCATTTATGTAAAAGGCGTAAACATCGATAGACAGTTCACCCGTATTGCGTGCCATGAATGAACGCTTTACTGTCAGATTGGAAATAGAAGCCTTGCGGGATCGCTCTACTGAAAATTTTTTTATTTTAATTAATAGAGAAACTTAATTGGTTAATTTATTATGACAGTAGTGGTGATGATCTTTGATGACAATAATAATAATGACGATAAAGAGTAATTTTAAATGAATAAAATACATAACAAGTTTAAAATAATTTCTATACTTTTGGTAATTTCTAAAAACTACATATTATACTTGACAAATTAATGAAAAATTTCTAAATTTCTAATTTTCATTTAAATTAAAATTTTTTTGAATCCAAATACTTATTTAGATTTATCTAATATTTTATTGTTTTACTTCAATTAAAAAAATATAACAATTTTGAATTACTAAATATATACATATGTACATACGTATGATTGCATATATTTTATACTCATTTCTATTCCTTTTTATTCCAATAAATGGTTACTAGTTAATAGGAAAAAGTAATTCTACTTATTACATAATTGAAAATTATTTAATCTTTTAGACTTATAGACTATTAGAAAATAATATTGAGACAGATTTTAAGATTTACTATTAAAAATAAAAATAACTTACTTTCACAATCCTTAAGATACTTTTCTGTAAGGTCAAACAATAAAGGTGTTACAGATCCCGGCTTACGATTGCCAAATTTAAATTGTGCTTGAGCTCCGCGACCTACGAGACGTAATACTTCTAAAATGGTCATGTTGTTTCTGAAATACAATTTTTTAATTGTTAATCATTATGCCATTAAATGAATTTATACACATTCTTAATATTATTCTATTAAATTACCTTATATATAAAAGTGCGGACGATAAAGCAGCTAATGAAGGTGTATACGACAGTTGTATTGTTTTTGTTTTATTAGGTTCAAGAACTGTGGGAAGAGAGTGAGGTGCAGAACTAATTCCCCACTGCTCAAAAAAGTCTTTTTCATTCAAAGTGTCTTCTAATTTGAATTCTCCAGGTATAGTAATTGGGCACTCCAAACATATTGGTTTAAAACTAAAAAATATTTAATTATTCAATTGAATAGAGTATAGTAAAAAAAAACTTTTGTTTTGTAATTTTTTTAGAATTTAATATTATTTTTAAGCTTGTATTTAAATATATATATATATATATACATAGATCAAATTTCAATTAAAAGTAATTAAAATTATAATTAATATTAGTGAGATATTAGTGAACTTACTTATTTGGTAGTGAATGAAACAACCTTAATCCTTGGGGATAACTCCAATCCATTACTAAATGGATTAATAATGGATGCAATGTTGGATTATGCAATGTTATATTCTTGTACGAAATTTTTCCAACTTGAGTAAGTGGAAATGAAAGTAAACTTTTATTTTTGATATCTTGAATTTCAATTAAAAGACTGGGCCAATACGGTTTCATATTTACGAAAAATTTGTATCCACGAACTTCGCTAGTATCTAATTGCATTGTTATGTTGTCCCATGAACCACCACTAGTTACATTTAAATATCTATTGTAACGAGTGTTTAGCAGATTTAAATCAGAGTCACGCGTATGAGAAGGTAAACTTAAAGTGTTAAGCCACTGAATTCCAACTGGAATATAAAAATTATTAATTTTAATTCATATCACATTTAAAAAAGCTGATATTTATCTAAAGATAAAAAATTGTACCGCTACTATTTAATATTAAACCAAGATAACAATATTCTTTACAAGTAATCAATGGATCAATTACAATGGAGCCTATATGATTATCACCCTTTGATATAACTGGATATGAAGTAGGCTCCAAAGGAATATATTTTACTCTTTCATCCTTGTGGAGTGGAGCTATAAAAGTAACTTCCATAGATCTTGCAAATGTTGAGTGCACTTTCACTTGTTGTAAACAAATAGAACCCTGAAACAAGATAAAACAGTGCTGTAATACGTACATTTAATTAAAATTAGTTTTAATTAATTTCATAATTAAAATTTATGTACAATGGTTAAATTATAGTCTTAAACTTCTGGTTTAATAATGTATTTTGCTTAATAAGGCATAATAAAAAAATATATAATGAATATTATATTCGAATTTTCAAACCATAAAAAATATACATTATGATACACAATATCTATTATTATTTTGTTTTTCCCATCAAAATTTTAATCTAAAGTTTAATCTGCAAAATTGTGATTTCATTTTAATATTTGATTACAAAATATTTATTTGTTACAGGTATTCGTTCTAGTATAAAAATATTGATAAACAGTTGTAAGTTATAATAAACATTTGAAGTGAAAAAATTTTTATTTTACATTTTTGATACAATTATATATAGATAATAAATAGTATAAAATATTTTTGTTTACATTTAATATTATTAAATAAATTGTTATGATTATTGAATATTATGAAATCGGATATTATGAATATTACGTTCATAGATTCATTATATTAATAATCAAATTAATTTATTGACAAAGAATTTATATTAATAGCATTAATTGCATTAATAGTATTAATTGCAAACAAATAAATTTTAAAAATTATTAACGCTAATTAATAATTAACTTACAGGAAAACAATTTGAGAATGTAACCTTCTTCATAGATATTTTTCCATGTGCAACTCGCATATAAACTGGAACGATTAATCTTTCGTAAGTAGTCTTAACAAATACATCACCAACTATAGTATCTTCTTTAACATAAGGAGTTTTGACTTTAATTTTAAAGATTGCTAAGTAGCCTGGTTTTATATTTTGCTAAAAATAAATGGGAAAAAATGTTGTTAAAATTTAGTAATCTTTGAAAATTAAACTTACTTGGTTAAACCTACATTTCCTGTAACACTACAGAGACTTATATTTTGTACGCCATTACTAAATAATTCAGTAGGCCCACTTTGACAACCCATTAACTCTAAAACGGCTCCAGGCATATTAACTCCCCAACCATGTAATTCTATATTAATTGGATTCTGATTTTCAAGGGCGAATATACCTTCATTTTCTGTGCCACTACTAACAGTGCCAAAATTCATTGTACCTTTATCACTTGCTCTTCCACCTGGTATTATTTTTTGTAATTTGCCATTATAGCTTAGTAATGGAATTTCAGTAATAGAAACATTAGAATGAATTAATATCATTGACTGCAATTGCAAGTTTTGATATTTTTTATCATGAGTTAATGATAGTGTAAATATATTGTCCCTCTGACCAGATTTTAAAATCTTTGGGATAAAATTACTTATCTAGGAAATACAATGACTACATGAGATTTTAAATAAATGTAGAACTATGCATGAATAAAATATTTTTAATTCTTACAGTAAAAAATGATGCAGTCTCAAACGGTAGCGAAATGTTAGTAATAGCTAGAGGTAACTTAAATTTATTAACAACGCTAAAGTTTCGTGGTTGGATAGTATGTGGTGAACAATAATGTGCAGCAGAAGTATTTACTTCAAGGCCACCTTGTAAGACTTCTGCTATCCATGGTATAGCTAGTTTTTGACTAGAACCACCAGGTCCAATACTCTTTATCATTAATTTTCCTTTAAAATGTTTTAAATCCAAACCAGCTTTCCCTTTAAAAAAGTAATCAAAATATTTACGTTGCTATTTTTCATTTAAAATCTTTAATTTTAACATTAATTCAATACATACAATCATACACTAACATTCCAACTTCTATTGGAATTTCTGTATCTCCTGGTATCACAATAGGTTCAAATATAATCTTTAATGCTTTTGATGTTGGTGTACTGATAATATTCTACATAATTAATTAAATTTTTCTATTATATAATTTATCATTATAGTTTGATTAAAATATTAGTTTAATATAAAATTAAACAACTTACTTGCACTTTAACAGGTTTTTTTGCTGAATTTTTTAATGATATTTGATAATGAATTGGTGATTGATGAGATCCTCCTATACCAAAGTTAACAATTCCAGAATCACCGCCCCAATGAAGACCAGCTCCATTAGTTACTTCTATCTCCACAGCCACAATGAGTACTTCAGCACTATTGTTCATTCTGAATCTAAATAAAACAAAACTTATATATACATATAATATGTATATATCTGCATAGATAAATAAATAAACAGATAGCATAATTTTATTTTATACATTAAAAATTATTTATTGTCATTGATTGTATAATGTACTAATATTATGAAAATAAGAAATTTTACCCAATATATGCAGTGTGATTTTTTTCACTAAGGGCATTGAAGTGTAACCTTATTACAGGTTTAGTTTGATAAGGAGGAATTTCCCATAATCCACGAGATCCTTCTACTTCCCCAGTAGGTAATTCCAATTGAAACTCTCTTCCACTACTATAAACTTCTAAAATCTACAAAGTAAAAAGTTATATAAAAAAAAAAAAGAAAATGACTTTAATGGAAATTAATTTTGTATTTATTATTACCTGCATAAATTCAGAATGAGGATTGTGCATGTATATTAATGGAGTAAACGATGCATTTATAGGTAGTTTCACGCCTACTACAGGTCGTAATCGATATGGACTACTTACGCTTATACCTTTTACCTTAAAAAATATAAATTTTTATAATTAAATGTAAATGACTGTTAATTATAATAATATTTGAAAATATATTAATATATATATAGATATATATATACTTGATATTTTACTGTTCCATCAGATGTATGTATGAAGAGGTAACTGTCAATTTCCCCTTCTTCTCGACCTAAAAATACAACATTAAAAGTTGTGTTTCCCAATGGAGGAATAACCTGTAATATTTTATAAAATGATTTTAATATTTTTAATACATATTTATTAAAAAATATTATGTAATATTAATTGAATAAATACTGCTAATAATGATTTTAAAATCTGAGAAAAATACTTAAAATGTGTTTATTAATGATTTCTAAAGTATTGTTATAAATATTAAATTAAAAATTTAATAACTTACTTTGTCTTGAAAAAAAGATGAATGAAAATGTTGTGTATTTCCAGAAATAGAAGAGAGATGAATAGTTCGATTATCATCTTTATTTAACAATGTTACAGTTTCTTGGTGTGGTATACCAAGTTGTCTATTAAAAATATTTTTTATAATTGTATTATATCAGAGTAATTATTAAATATTATTATGAATATTATAATAAATATAAAATAAATATAATAAAATTACCTTTCTTGAAAATCCAGAATACTTGGTTGAAACTTAATATGAAAATTTTCTTCAGATATAGAATCCCTTTAAAAAGTTTATAACATAAATGAAAGTCTTCTCATTATTTATAGAAACTTATATATTATTATGGAAAGTGATAATTATAGAAAACTGAAATCATGAATGATACACAAAAATGGGATTACAGTTAAAATAGATTATTTATTATTTAAATTTATAAAACATTTAATATCATAAACATCATTTAATATTAAATATATACTTTACAATATAATCTATCTGCCATAATGATTCCAAATTTTATATTTGTGTACGTAATATGACAGATTGTATTGTATAAATTGATAAAAAACATAAAACTTTGTAATAGTATTTTTTTTAGGTCATTGTAAGTAAAAACATTATGCTTACCCAGCTCCATGCACTGAATTAGCAAAACCCTAAAATATAAAATATATATGAATATTGTATATCACATGATTAATAAGAAAAGTTTCTCATTCAGTAAGAATCTCAGTAAGATACTTACTCATAAAAGAAAAGGTAAAGGACTTTTGAAATTTATAAAATTCAACCAGAAATCAGTTGTTTTTCATATTGAAAAATTGAAAAAAATGGAGGTTCAATTAGGTTCAATTTATAAGAAATGTATATTTAATTTTTCAGAATAAAAAGAAAATTTATAGATGATGTACAATTTTTATGGTTTTTTAATATTTGAATAAGATGGGCAATATATTACATATAATAAACAATAAGAATAAAGTATAAACTTTTGTACGTGAATGTATCTAATTCTTACATCTGCATTTTAATCAAGCATAAATGAAAACCAAAAAATTAAACTAAGAATCTTGTTAATTGAGTAGTATGCTTACCTTGTTTATTGAAATTGGAATTTTATCTAAAAGATATTGTACATCGTTTTCATCCTGAACAAACGCTGTAAGTATGACAATGTATGACAATATAATTGAAAATATAAAAAATATTTTGTTATAATTTTATATTCAACGAATAACAGTTCTATACTAAATCAAATTATAAATTTTTATATTATTAATATCTTGATTATAATAATATGGAATAAACCACTTGCTGTGAAAGCAGAGAAAACTAGAATAATATTATAATTGACTAAACTATTTGAAAGGAAGTAAAAATAATGAGCATTGATTCGGCTTATCATTAAATTCAATAAAATTAAATAGTATTCAAATCACTTATTAACCCTGGATAAAATATATTTGTATTTTTAATTAATGTAATAACAATTATTAAGAAAAAGGACAAAATAGAAAATATTTAATACAAGTTAATATTAATTAAGGTCCATTTATTAGTTATAAGAATTCAATACAGTTTATTTATTTTTTTTTACTATATCTGAATGTTTAAAGAGCCTAGAGATATAGGAAATATATTCTAATATAGAGAAAAAAAAGTATAATAAGAAATTAAGGGGTATTAAATAGATTATTAATATATAGAGGTAAAGATTAATAAAGTAAGATTAATGACTCACTGTTTTTGTGTTCATGTAAAGACGGATGAATTTGCTTTATCACAGTTAAGAGCGTTAAAAAAAACAAACAACGGCATACTCGTTTTTCGTTCATAATACAGACCTCCCGAGGTTACAGTCGACTGCAACGACAACGACGGAGGCGGGCACTTTTTCTCGCCCCGACAGCTCTTTGCGCCCTTCTCGCCGTTTTATAGACAAGTCTATGTTCTCAAAATGTATTATTTATTTACTCAACTGCGCTACCTTCGTAATTAGCAAGATAAGCGAAGGCTTTGTATTTCTATCTCCCTCCCGCTCTATCTTTCTCTCTATGTCACAAACATACTCGCGCGCACGCGCGCACACATGCATACACACACACACACACGCTCTCTCACTCACTCTATCTCTCTTTCACTCTCGCTCTTATTCTCACTCTCCCTCTCGCTATCACTCCTTATCCCTTGTTATAATCTTTCTCACTTTCTTATTTTCCAAAACCCTTTATTATTATTTAAAACTTAGCAGAAATACGAAAACCCATGTTTAGCCATGCTATTGCGGACTATCGAAATTTTCAATATCGATTATACTCTTATATCGGACGTATCGCGAACGCAAAACCGCTAACTACACTACCACTAAGACAGTTGACATTGGGACATACAGTAACCTGACATCCTGATCCATTAAAGTTTGTGAGTACATCACAACAATGCCTGCACAGTAAAGGACAGACTCTCGATCATAAACCACCAAGTCTAAAAGCCCGAAATTAATCAGAGATAGAGAACAGCTGATTGGATAAATTGTTTGTGAGATTTTATAACAATAGTTTAGTTAGAAATTGAAAACTGTGACCATAAAATTTAGACTCGTAACTATAAACTTTTTAACACCCTTTATTATTGATCAACTAACTTTTAATTATTTAACTAAACAAAATGTATTAATGTATTTTTATTTTTACATTATCAGGATTACTTTTAATTTAAGCTGTATCTATTTAATAACAAAGAATCACAAATTCTTCTCCGAATGAATTTTTCTCAATAAATATATTATATATCAATTTAATTTTTCAATTATCGATCTCAATTACACTCACTAAGATATTTCATAATATTTACATCAATTATTTATTATAAAAATGTATATTTTATTATAAAACCTACTTACCATTGCCTTTGTAACACTACATATGACATATTTCAAGGTAAACGCGGGATATTTAAATGTAATTAACTGTAGAATAACAACATAACTTAAGCAAATTTATTTATTCTAAAAATAACATTAAACTATTACAATTTCTAGTAATTTTTTAGTGTATTTATGAGCTCTAACTTCGAAATTATTCTATTACTCTATTATTATATTTAATTTAAGAAAAAAATCGATTTTAATTTAAGAAAAATAAAAATATTAACCGTTTGTCATAATTATTATATATAATTGAAAGTCTACATGCATTAATATTTTTTTCATAGTATAATCACCCCACTTCATCTTCCATTTCAATAATTAATTGTAACAAATTTAAATAAATACAAATTAATTTAAAGGGAAACAAATCCATTTACTTCGCACTCGATAGTCACTTTTTTTTAATAATTTCTCATTATATATCAATAATTTCCAATTAAAATAATCGTTTCTAACAATTTATTATATTATATTTATATTAAAAATTAAAAATTTTAATCGATATATATGCGAATCAAGACCATTTATTAGATTTATTGATATAATAAAGTACTTTTGGAAGCTTAGCATATTGACTTTACAAAATTTTTGCAAAATATCTTGCAATTTCAATCGTTTTAAATAATTTTTTTAACAATATTATGAATACTTCCTGTTTTGAAATATATTTCTTCTACTTGACGTTATATCGAATATTAATGTTATTTTTTTATTAAAATAATGAAATGTTAAATAAAAAAGGACGATCACTAATTCATTTTCAGCAAAGTGACTTAGTTTCGTTAGAGAAAATTTTTTATTTTACTATTTTATTATTTTTATTATGTTTTTGACTGCAATTATCAAGAGTGAAAAATAAAGCAAAATAAAAAATTGTATATTTCAATCCATGTAAATAGAACAGGATCAAAAATAAATAAAAGATATAAAATAAAATAAAAGAATAGAAATAAAAGAAAATATAAAATCTTTAAAAAAAGAACCAAAATGTATAAAAGTTTATACTTCAGTTACATATGAACTTGTATATTCAAAATTAATTTAATATTTATTACTAGTATAATATACATTGCGTAAATGTTTCTAGGAAAGAGAATAAAATAAAGACAGAAAAACAATACTAAACAACCAAAAAGATTATCTTTGCTTTAACAATCAAATTTCAAACACTGATTTGTAAAATGAGTATTATCATTAGAACAATTGGTATGGTTGTTTAATGAATATAATTTATACTGAGATCTTCTAGAGATAAAAAAACATAAAAGAAAGATAGGCAACGAAAAAATCGAAGAAAACTACGCAGAATTATTAATCAAAGGACCGAAGGGGGAATATAAAAATGAACGCTGTTTTCCAACCTCCATATATTTAAGATAATTTATTTGTAATATTATTATTAGTTATATGACTTTCGATTAAAAATTAATAAATTATAGCTTCATAAGCTGCTTTCCTTTAAATGTAGGTGAAGCAAATACCACGTGTGATCACACCCATTGATATAATAAGTCGCATAAATTAAAAACTTATAAAAGTGCACACAAACACGTGCACGTACACACTCGATAACTAATAATAATATATACACATACACATACACACACGCGCGCACAAATATATATATATATATATATATAATATATTATGAAACCGAGTACATTTTTTAAAGGTAAAATAACTTTAATTTCTGAAAAATTATACTATTTTTATAGAAAATTAATTATTCGAAAGCTTGTATAGGTTATGTTATCGTACTTACCTACTTGTATTTTAAATTATTTAATATAAATGATAAAAATTAATGATAGGATTTTTCAGATGACAATACAAGTGATTCTAGTGATATGAGCGAATGCAATTTTGACTTTGATAATTCAAATTCTAACAATGATATCACAAATTTATCAGGTAAATTTATATTATCATAAATTAAAAATTATATAATTAATTTTAAATTATTTTTTTAACATTAAAGTAATTCTTTCCGATCCTCATTAAAAAATTATTCAATTAAGAGATCGTTTTATACATAAAAAATTAGCAGTTTTATTCAAATTTATTTTCCAAGATTTATATTTTAATTATGAATACTATCAAATATGACACATTATTATTTTAGAACATAATGATTCAAGACCATCTACTAGCACGCAAAATGAAATTGATGATAAAGAAGATGATGTTATAAAAGCTATTTTAAGATCTAAAGAAATTGTTAGGACTCATCCACCCAATATTTCATTAAAAAATACTTTATTTGATATTTGTTTTCATCCGATAAAAGATTTCATTGCCCTTGGAAGTGTCACAGGGGATGTTCTAATGTATACAATATAAATTTTTTAATGTTTTTAAATTTCTAAGAAATGTTTATATATGTATATATTTATTTTTCTCCCTTAGATATAAATATGATAATGAAAAAAATAAACTTGTATCAACATTTGAACTACATAAAAAGGCCTGTAGAGATATTGAATTTAATGATGAGGGAACCATTTTATATTCTGTTAGTAAAGACAAAACGATTATGTTAAGTGATTTTGAAACAGAAAAGTTGATTACAATATTTGAAAATGCACATGAGTAAATACTTTATATTATTAATAATTCAATTTATAATTAAATTATTTTAAAACAAATAAACTTTTCTAGTAATCCAATTTATACTATGACTGTAATAGATGAACATACATTTGCAACTGGGGATGATGAAGGAACAGTTAAATGTATTAATTAGAACCACTTACTAATAAATCAAATTATTAAATATTTTATTTAATTTCATTGAACTTTTTATTATAGTATGGGATAGTAGACAACAAAATTATAATTCAATATTTTCCATAAAAGAAATGGATGATTTTGTTACTTCTATGCTAACGAATGAGGATAAAATGTTTTTAGTGTGTACTAGTGGGGATGGTACACTAACAACTATAAATATGAGGACAAAAAAACTACATGTTCAAGTAAGAATAATAATCTATAGAAGCTTATATTGATTATATCAGCAATATATTTTATTGTATAATATAGACTGAAGATTATTCTGAAGAATTAACATGTCTTGGTTTATTTAAACATGGAAAAAAAATTTTAGCAGGAGGAACTAAAGGTAACTTGTATATTTTTAATTGGGGAGAATTTGGTCTTCACTCGGATGAAATACCAAGTTTAAACAAAAATCCTATAAATTGTATGATTCCAATAACAGAAAATATAGTTATTACTGGAAGTGAAGATCAGATGTTGAGGTATGTTCAATATTCATGCAAATTCATTAATAGTAATGCTTAAATCATAATTAATTTCAATTTAATTTTTGTTTCAGAGCTACAAGCATATTTCCAAATCAACATTTAGGAATTGTTGGTCAACATAATTTATCAGTAGAAAATCTTGATATTTGTAACAATGGAACAATAATTGCTTCATATTCTTATGATGGTATTGTTAAATTTTGGAATACAAATTATTTTGAAACACTGAACCTGTCAAACTCTATTAAAGGTGGAAAACAAATACGAATGAAATATAATTTACCTAGTAGTAAAGTAGATAATGCCTCAGATTTCTTTGCCGATCTTTAATTATTTAAATTTTATTGCTATTTATAATAATCAACATTTTTATCGGTTCTATTCTATTAGTATCTTATTTTTTATGCTTAAATATTAACTTTTATAAATATAAATAAAAATTAAATTTAGATAAATTTAATTATAAAATAAAATTAGACGATAATTTTATTACATATACATATCTTTTTTTCATACAATAACTTATGAATTCTATTTTATAAATAAAAAAATGTTTGATAATACAATATAAATTTTATAAATATATTTACATAATATATGTGATTAACAAATTTTTCTATAAGAAAATCATTTTTTTATTAATGGTAATCCTTTCCTGCTAAACATTATAAAAGTAAATTTAAAAAACATAAATCTTTATACTTGTTTAAATAGTACATAAAAGTAATGTAATTTGGCTGTTTACTATACAATAATTCTTATATTATACAATAATTTTAAAAGGCTGAATGTAACAAAACTAAAACAAATTATTATATACTAAATTGATAAATTAAATTTGAAATATTACATTAAACAGGATTAAATGCAATTTAAAAAAAAACTAATTATTTAGTTATTTCTGTTTTAATGTCAAAATATTAAATAATCTATTATTTGGTTTGGAAATTATAAGTATTAATGTAATAGCAATTTAACTTATTATTTTACAAGTTTTCATTCATTTCATTTAATGTTAATAAATTTATTTTTATGTTTTGCGATTTACCATGGAGAATGTAAACTCAATTATTTTCCTTAGGTGTATTAAAATTTAAATCATACTTGCTTAATAGTCATAAAATAAAATATAAAAAATTAAAAGTAATTAAAAAAAGTGATCTATTTTAAAATCGTTCATTTTATAACTAAATTACTTTGCCAATGCATTCCTTTATTTTAAATAATTAAATAAAACAATTGTCTATGCATTGATCATACAAAATTTCCGAAATATAAAATTACTTTATTAATATAAGTATTGAGAACAGAAATTCTTATTGATACACATAATTTTCCAAAACATCCTTACAAGTTATTTAATTACATTTAATAGTGTATAATACTATTGTTTATGTATGAAATACATTGAATTGTGCAAAATGAATGTATAAATAAGGAAAAAGAAATTAACTAAATTAATTATAATGAATTATAATTGTATATAAAAACATAAGATATATTTTAAGATCTTTTTAATGGTGTTGGATTTTGCATTCGTTTAATAACTTTTGGCGAATAATTATAGTAATAATAACGGAATAATTGTCATATCTATAAACCTACTTTGGTTTCTTTATGGATGATTTACTTGTCTTAAATACTCTGGAGCATGATAGTGCTGCTGAACATGAGCTAATGATGGATGAATAGGTGGTGGAAAACATCTGACATGTTCGACACTAGAAGCATCACTATCGCCACTTTTAAGATATTTATTCAGCACAGCAAAAATTTGTGAATTTAAGACTTGGAAGCGTCTGATTCTATCTACCATACGTTTTAAATGCTAAAATTAAGAAAATTATATGATTGGAAATATTGCTTTTAATTTGTTGACATCTAACAAAACAAACATTTTTAAAAGTTAAACAGTAAATGAAGTAAATATTATCATCATTTAAAAATTGAATACCATATAGTTTAATAATTAAGAAATTAATAAATTGTATGTTAGATTCAGATTTGTTATAATGAAGTGCAACGAAAACATAAACAAAATTTTTATTTATTTAAAAAAATTATTGATAGCTAAAACACCGATTTGAAGTAAATATTATAAATACTTTAAAATAAAATTCATACATACAATTCCTTTGACATTTTCATCTTTGCCATCAACCCGCTGTACTCTTAAAATATGATAGCAGAAATCTAAAGCCTCGAATCGCCTTTGCTGCCCCAGAAGAATAATCATTGCACACCCAGCCCAGTGCAAGCCTTCACCAAATAATTCTCTAAAAATATCATTAAATTTGAATATTTTAAATATGTTCATATATTCGTAATTAAGATTATTAAAAATCAAAAACAAATCTTGATGTTTGAAAATTTATTAAATCGATACTCAGATATTTCTATAAGATTAATAATTAATAATATGATTCTAACTCGACTGTAAATTCGGTATCTCCCACAGGAATACAGTAAACAAATTGAAGCGCACTCCAAAGTCTGTGAAATTCGGTACATTCGTCAATATTCATTACTCCATTAGCTGGTGGTGGTCCTACCCAAATTGGATCATCCAAAAAGCTACGTAATCTACTTAGTACAACTTCGAATATTGACAAACCACAACAGAGTCTCTCTCGCGTCAACAAATCTCCTTCTTTGGCAACCATTGCTTGCTAAAATCATACAATGGTTGCTGAATTTTTTCATTACTACTTACATTAATATAATATTAAATTCAATTATTTAATTGTGATTTAAAAACTTTAGTATTATTAATTTACTTTTGCTGTTCCATATTTGTCAACATTTGGTACAATTTGAAGTGCTGAATATTTAACCTCTAATCTTTTTTGTTTAGTTTCTGGTTTTTCTCCCTCTGTAATGAAAGTACAAATAATTCATATAATTAATGTTATAAATAAATTTTTTAAAGATTATTAACTGTTAAAAATTTATAAAAATCGTTTCGAAAGTAAAATAATTAATAAGTAATTGATAATTTATAAGATTGTCCTTGTGATTAAAGAAATTGATATATGTTAAACAATATTCTTTTGAATATTATTAAACTAACTAGCGGAATATCAGTCTTTTCTTTACAGTTGCTTTATAAAATTATTTAAAAAAAAAAAAAAAATTAAAAGTATATGAATTAATTTTCATTGATTTCTAATATTATTAGAAATAAAATATTAATAAATCCACTATCATTTATTAAAATGAAGTTTCAGCTTCTGCATACAAATTTATTCACAATGAGTAATAATTATAGCTCTCTTTACAATTTATTCACTTAAGCAAGTTGCTTTACTATTAACTTTCATTAGCATCATTTACCAACAATACTCGTACATAGTGAATTCTACATTACCTTTGCAATAAGGTCTCGGCAGAATATTTTGGAATGGCGCGGCATGCATGAGGTCACAAACTTCCTCCTGTGAGAGAGCTTGTTCCATTAACAAACAAAACAGAATGGTATTTCCGAATTCGCGGAAATTATGAAAGAGCTCGGTCTTCGCATCGGGATATTGCACAATATCATTCAGTTGGGCGTGATAATATCCGAGTACACCTGGTGATCCATAATCATATCTTGGCAATTTGCAGACTTTCGGCATAGCCTCCATAAGGGTTTTCGTGAATTGCAAAAGACTGCCCTGAATCAAAGATTTCACGATCTTAAGGAGCTCCTCCATAACGACGGCTATTCCCTGGTAGCCGAGAAGCTTGCACATTGTACGAAAATGATAAAATCCGACGAAACCTGAATATTGTCCGTATTGAGTGCTGTAAGCGAGATTCAGTTGCTTGCTACCCCAGAGATAATGATGGGACATTTGTGGTGGCTTGTCGCGATGAACTGGTTGTACGAATTGTAGTCCCCGACATTTAATAAATCTAATTGAGGTAAGGAAAATAATGGATATAATATAATGGAAATTTTATTAAAGTGAAGTTTATTATAAAGTTAAACATAATTAACATATTCCTCTTTACGAAAATTAGTAACAATTTAAGAATTTAATTATTTTCAAAATTCATAAATTCTATTGTACAGCTTCATAAATTTTATTATAACCATTGTGTTATATTCTTTACTTATTGCAGTTATTTTCATTATTGATATTTCAAATCTTAATTTTCAATATTCACTTACTGTATTTTATCAGTACTGTGGAAATATGAACGAAAAAGTTAAAATCTATCTATTGGAAATTCTTATAAGCTATTATTGTTATCAATTATATTAAAAAGTGGATGGCATACATTTTCAGTAGAGAAGGCACAATTAAAAACATTGATGATTCCCTTCAAATGGAAAAAAGAGAATGGCTGTTCAGTCAACAAAGTTAATATCATTTGAAATATTTTCTATTATTTTACTTTATTTCTAAATCCTTTTCATCTTTCATTTAATAATTTAAAATAACTTTTAATAATTTTCTTTCTCGAATTTAAAAAATTAAGTTTAGTCCGCTTTAGCTAAACTTAGAAATTTAAATTGTATTAATTTTTCCATGTGTAAATATGCTTACATTGTTCTCCATATCAAACACACATTTTATAACAATTTTATAAAAAAAAACTACGAAATAATTTTTATTTATTTATAAAATAATTTTACCTATTTGTAGCTGCATTGTAACAATAATTTGGCAAAAAGTCATAATTAAGTTCCCAAAAAACATGCAGTGTAATGCGTCCATAAGGAGCTAAAACGTTATGATTAGCCTCTCTAAACATTGCATCATATTCGTCCAATGCAAGCCATTTACTAAGAAGTTTGTGTGTTAAACGATTGACTTGTAATAATCCTTCCAATTCCTTAAAAATTAATTAAAGATAAATTACTTAACAATTATTTCTATGACTTAGTAAAGAATATTGTAGGCAATAAGATTCTGTGGATTAGATAGTTAATAAAGAAATAAAAAAAAGAATACTTGAGAAAAAATCACACTTACAATAACTCCTGTTATATCTCCAGATTCGAACTTGCTAATAGCCAAGTCTAATGATTTTTGCATATCAGCATTAATCCGCTGTGTTATCAGTTTGTTAAGATCAATACTACGACCGAGTAGTTGAACATGCCGTTGTTTAAGAAGAGTTTCGTATCGATTTGCTCGCGGATATGATAAAATGTAAGCCCCAGCAGCTAAGCATTCAACTCGAAATCTTTTATCTAACAAAATACTCGAAGCTAATTGTTTATAGTGGGCGAAAATTTGTTCACTGAGTTTGTAAACAAACTGATCAAAACACAAATTTACCTCGGCTTCAACCTCATCATACAAAAATTGTTTGCGGAATATGGTTAAAGCATACAATGCACTATCATTGTATAAATCTAATGGATAAAGTACATACCTGTAATATTATAAATCGTTATAAATTTTGCAATCTAAAGTTTTTTTTTTTTTTAATTTCGTCTAATATTTATAATTCGTACTATAATGACATTATCACGATTTATTATTTATAATTAAATATATAGAAACATTTATTTTTTCTTTTAATTATAATTATGTTAAAAGAATATAATCAAATACATTTTTTTAATTTCATTTTATAATAAAACAAATAAACATCAAATACATACAATATTAAAAATAATTCTTAAAATATAAATAAAAGGAATGTAAAAAATGTCAGTATTCTTCTACTATAATTAACTATAGAATAAGTATTTTATAATTTTTTTCTTGTAATTGAACATAGAAGTAAAATAATTTTTTATAAAATTTAAAACTCACTCCATCATCGAAGGTTCTTTACTTCTCAGAATGTGATCAGTTAAAATCCAGGGCATAGACATTTCAATTGGAAACTGTAATTCAAGAATTAAAATAAGATTATTCGAATATCAAAATTTGATCTTCTATTTAACAAAAAGCAAAAATCTAGAAAATATTTACAATTTTTTTTAATACTGTAACAATTATAATGACTATAGTGCACGAATTTTAAAATTTACTTTTAGTCATTATTAATTACTTAAATTATATATAGTTATTACTGATATAAAAAATTTCAATAATTATATTATGCATTATGAAATTTTATTCATAAAAAATATTTATACTTTATTAGCATTCGACCAATATTAATGTTAAAATTATTTTATTCTCATTTAATTTAATTAAAATTTTTAATTTATTTATTCTAAAGAACCAAGTTCTTAAAACATAAATTTATGATTTGAAGAAGGTAGTGTTATAATCTGTTCTATAATCTCTATTAATTTAATACTTATTAGAAAACTAAATATTAAAATAAACAATGCATAATATATGTCAACATATTAAAAACTCATAGGACATAAATATTATTTTCCGTATTTTAAATTTATTAATAAAAAGAAATTGTATAAAAGATATAATTATAATAAAGTTAAATTATAATAGAAAATTTTAGTTATATATTGATAAACAAACATTCAAGTAGTTCTGTGTATTTATAGAACTTTTATATGAAATATTCATGTTTTTTTAGCATACTCGCAGGAATTATCAAGCACACACATATAGACATGAAACAGAAAAAACCATAGTGCAACTGAAATATATCCAATTCCCAGTCGTGCAATTCCAAGAAGTGATGATTTTGAGGCGAATAGAATACCTGAATGCGTTTCTCCATGGTGATCAAATCGCTGCATTCCTCATTATGCTGGTGTCGCACATGGCATTTCTAGTCATGAAATCAGTCAGAGAAAATGGCTAATATCGTGTTAGGAAGAATATCGTCAACATACGTGACTTATGATAGAACAGAATTTTAAGCAGAAACGAAATAGTAAAGATATGACAGATATCGTATTTTTTATGAGTTGTTTATTAAGTTCTTAAGCGCTTATTTAAAGAGATTATTAAATGGTGCTATTACCTGTATTTTACGGCCCATGGTCATCTCAAGATAAAATTCTCTATACCATAATTGTGATAGATCACAACAATTTTGTAAAGACTCTACAGAATAAATATTTGATTAATTCTTTAATTTTAATAGTATATTTTTAATAAAAAAAATTTTCAATTTTGAAAAAATGCAAATTCATTTGAACTTACCACTAAAATTTAATAAGTAACTCCAATAAAAACTAGTTTTATGAAATTGATCGATTTGGATAAGATATTGACCATCGATATCTTTCCGTAGCGTACGTTTCCCGCCACTTTTGTCAGCAATTAGTGATTCAAGCATTGTACGTACCATGTACAGTTGAGTTGATGATGGACCTTCACAAATAAATTTATAAATTTAAGTAACACATAATTAAATAAATTATGTAAAAAAAAATACATATTACATACCAACTTTTCTTCTTGGCACTTTGATACCAAATCCATTATCTGGATCTTTTTTTCCTTTAAGTGCTGGATCTGCTGTAGGTTCTACTCCAAAATGCCAATCTGCACAAGTTTCTCGTACAGAAACAATAATACTAAATTGAAATAAAATAATAGTAACATTAAATTATATATAATTGAAGTAATTTTTGTATTAAATATGAACCTTCTAATTAAATCTTTTTTATTTTTTATTGCTTTTCTTAATGGTTCTCGAAGAATTAATTGTACAAAATCTTGTAATTCAGCATATATATTTCTACGAATAGCATCAACAAAAACAGTTTCTATACGAGCCATCAAAACCTGAAGACCTTTAATCATAGCTATTACTTCAATCAATGCAAACTTTTCTTCGTCTGTATAATTATAACGGGTAGCCTATAAATACAAATATTGTTAGTTTTTATTTAATAAAATAGTTAAAATATTTATTGTAGCAAAACACTAACTCTTTCATACTCCTCAGCCTCTTGAGGACATTCCTTATTCATATGATGATCAGTTGGATGTAGTAATTTCCAACTATATAATTCAGTCACAACACTAGTCCATTGTGATAATAATTGCAAGCCACGTAAAGCTAATTCAGCAGTTTCTCTATTTTCAATGTCACTTCCACAATCTTTATAAGTTGTAGTAACTTCATTGCTATATCTAATAAAATGAATGAATAAAATTTATATTACATTAACATCTTTTATACTGATTTAATTTTATACCTTGCTAATTCACTTATATATTTTACATGATCTTCACGAATTTGAGGTAAATGCACCATTAAATCGGCTTGTGGACTCATGCTATTTATAGAAGAAGATAGTGCCCATTTTGATACATCAAAGTGTTTCGATCGCTTAATATAATTAAAAGGAGCAATTTGCATATCCCCAAATAGTGGCACAACTTCTAAATTTTTAAAAATCCTATCGATTCTATCTAGTTTCAATTTTTTCTTTTGATCTAATTTATTAATATTGCACAATTCACTATCCATTAAAAAGAGACCAAAACCCATAACTTTTACTAACATGTGTTTTTCATTTGGTGTTAGGTACATTTTCGTTTCAAACATATGAACACAAATATTTACAACATCAGCCAACAATTCTTCATAACCTTGGATTTTTTCTAAATTTTCTTTTACTGTATCTCTAATTTTATTTTGAGTTGCTAAAAACATTGATAAATTTTGAGATTCTTGAAGTGTCTGTGAATCTGACATAACTTTTAAAAACTGTGCAGCTCTATCAAAAAATATTTCAATATAAGAAATAGTAAATTGTGAATAATACTTAAAGTTTTGTGTAGAAAGGAATGATTACCTTCTGTAAGTAGAATAATCATTTTTAACACTAGATTTCATATTTTTAAGCTCATCTAGGACTGCAAACATATTAATAAATTTTCCTAAAGTTAATAAGTATGCTTCAGATACAAAATCTTTTCTTTTTTCTTGATGACATAACCGTTTTACTTCAGCTGAAAATCTTTCTATTGCTTTCCTCTGTAATATTAATTTCAATAATTCAATAATACAATATGTGACAATTGTAAGTTAAATAATTAATTGAGACAAAAATTAAAATGTATTTATATCAAGTATTAAACAAAAAATTTATATTTATGCTGAACAAATAAATTGTAAAGTATGAATTTTATTTATAACATTATTATATATATGGCTAGTTATACTTATTTCCAGTTATACAAACATAATATAAAAATAATATATTTATATAAATATTCAATGTAGTATAAATTGATTATAAAATAACTTTGTGCATATAAAATACATAAATAAAAATTCAGCTGTTAATATTATTCAATAAGTACTATAATAAAAGTTATATAATTTAATTTAAAATCAAAATAAAATATTACTTACTTGAAAATACATAAAATTTAATAATTTATTGACTTCCGGTGCAAGAACTTCTACAGTTTTTTCATAAATTTCAACTCTATTAGGTTGTTCATTAGACTTTGGTTGTGGTATTGCTCTTGAACAACATCTCCATGTATAAAGCATCACAGCATGCTCTAATCCTTCTTCCAATAACTCGTTCTATGTATTACAGATAGAATTAGGGACATTTATATAATATTGTTTAGAATAAAATAAATTTTAATTTATACATACCAAACTTGCATGAACAGTTGCTTCTTCAATATACTTAGCAATGCCAGTCACAAATCCATTTCTATCTTCAAAATTAGTATCAAAATTAGCTTGGTAAACAACAGAACATGGTTGTGCTTCAATGCATGGTTGTTCATCAGGCATTGTGAACTCATCAAGAACATCAACATTAGATAAAGCATCCGCAAGAGTTACTTTATCAGTAGCCATGACTATACCTTAAGAAAGAATTTTATTATAAAATCTTTTGAATAATGAAGTAACCAGAACTAAAATTTGCTAAAACAATGCTATAGCTGTTCTATAATCATGTTACCTCAATGAATGTCTTTCGTAAAATATTATTTTAAAAAATACTTAAATATTTTAGTATTTTACATTTAATATATAGTTGCTTCAAATTAAGTTTTTAATTAAAATTTAATCATATTCAGTAACAAGCAGGTTATGTTTTATTTATATATAAAATTAAAGAAAAGTCACAATTACAAGACAAAAACATTATTCTAGTAAAACTAAAAGGTAATATAATAAAAATAATTTTATAAATACTTACCCGTAAGTGCCCTAAAAAGGGCACTGCCTGGGAGTTTTCCGAGACAAACCGACAATCAACTCCACCCTGACGTGTTGTCAAATCAAAGCGTCGAAACGAGCAACATGGCGGATGTATTTTTGTATTTGCATTTAAAGCTTGTAACCGTTCTAAAACTATACATTTATTTTAAAACTTAATTTGTAAGAACTTCATATAAAAATTATGTTTATCGATTACTGCATCCTATATGTGAACATAAAAGAAGAATAACTTATAGGCCACAGCGATGACTCTAATAAAAAACAAATAAAAAAGTGAGCACAATATATGTAAATTGTAGCATATTTTAAATTCTATAAAATTGATAAACCTCGTTCGTTTGCAACTACAACAATGCTTTAATTTATTTCATTTATTATCAGATAAACATTGCTTTATTATTTTAACTATCAATTGATAAATGACATAATATTTATAGTATATTATTTTAAATTTAATCTTTACCTTGTATTATTGTTTTATACACCATTGTACAGTAAGTACATAAATACTAAAATATACAAAATTTAATAACAAAAATTATACATTATATTAATAAATTTTTATCTATGTATCATAACTTTATAAAAAATTAACCAGCCATTTGCATCCTATTGAATAAATAATTATTTGATAAACAATGCTTTATAAAATTTTACTTTGTAAATAAAAGACTTTCTAAATTATCAATATTATAAAAATATTGATATATTTTTTGAAATGATAAAATGCAATAGACAATAAAGTTTTAATTGCAAATCGATATATTTTTTCTGTTATTGATACAATTATATGGTGTTTATTATTTGCCTTTATTCAGTTAAATGGTATGTAATTATAAGAAAAAACTACAATAATTTTAAGGAGACAAAATGCATTATTAAATACATAAATATAATCACTTAAAATATCTCGGTATTCATATGTAATTTTGAAGGTAAATGTAATAACTGTTATTATTAACACTACTACTCAATAGTTTATGTAGTAAATTATTTATGCTAAATGATTATTTTAAATATTAAACATCAATAATTGATAATATTTGTAAAGCTATCTACAAATTGAATTATAATAAAAAATTTTACATCAGTATATAAAATTAAATTTTAATACATATAGAATGCTGCGTTGTTAACTTGATGTACATATAGACATTATTTTTCCTAATAGAGTTATTACAAAAATCTCATTAATTAAATAATATATATATTCATAAAAGAAAAATATTGAATATTAAATAATATTAATATTAAATAATATTGAATCAATATAATATCGTAAAAATCATATTTTATTTATATCCATATAATTTATTTAAACTTAGAATATTTTACATTTAAATTAAATTTATAAATATTTATTCGTTTGTTTATTTATTTATTTAAATGTATACTGTATTTAATAAACAATAAATATAATAAAATTTATAAACTAAGAATAATCTTTTGATTGTTTCATTATTATAAGAATTATATTTAAAAATATAATAAAAACATATAATTAGATTTGATATAAACGGGTTTCTTTTTTTAAAGAAAAATTAACAATTATACTTTTATGCTCTGCTTTGGAATGAGTTCATTAGAAACAATATATCCAATGTTATAGATAATAACTCATAATTTATTGAACTAAATACAATTATAATTAAAACAATAATTAAATTTATAATTAAGTGTATTGTAAATTTATATTATAAATACATCAAATTTTTAAAGTTTTAAAAGATTATAAATTATAATAGCTTAAAAATTTTATTCATTTTTAGGAAAATATTTTGTTTTAGTTAATTAATATGTTAATAAATACGAAGACAATTGCATTGAAAACCGAAATTTTAATACATTAATGTATAATTTACAGCCGCAGGTTTTTGAGAATTGGATGTATTCACAATACATTTAAAAATATTCCAAGTAATAATTATTCACTTGCAATACATTGAATTTATTATTTTAAAAATTTGTACATTAAATGCAACAGTGACTCTCTTCCTTTCGATTATTAACAAATCTCTTCTGCATAGTTTGCATTACCATGCGAATATTTCCGTCTCGTACCATTTCCTGAGATCCATCAATTCTTGGCAACTGTTCCAGATCATCTATATTTAATTTTTTGGCTATATCATCGTCTCGCTTATTTTCCTATTAAAATAGGAACATCAGATTAATACGTATGAATCCATATTAATATGAAAATAATTAAATATTCTACATTTGGTAAAATATAAATTGTTTAAAGCAAAAGAACGTTAAATACTAGAAAACCATATTCACAGAAAAATATTTTAATGTAATATATTTAAAATAAACGTTTTTAAAGATACCTATTTTTCCAGTATTTTGTAATTATTAATGTGTTAAATAACAAATCCATTTAGTGCGATATTTATAAATAAAAGTTTCAAAAAGAAAATATATACATATTTTCTTTATTTTATATTGATATTTAATTTGTCATATCTTCTTAATGTATGTATAAAATTTAGTTATAAAATATTTTTGGGAACATACAATAGTTAAAAATATTCAAAGTATAACAAGATCCAAATTATTGCTCTATAAAAATTTCAAATGCCTGAATTTCAATTAAACTGTTAAATACATAAACGGGTGTAATTACTCTTTAAAAATTAAGCTTTTCCCAAAAGATGGAATGTAAAGAGAACAGAATTTCATTCATTAATTCTATATTAAAAAATATATTTGAAAAAATAAAGTTTATATAAAAATTATTTCTTAATGTTCATTGAAATACAAAGGCAATTAATATATATATATATTCAAATATCTAAATTAAAAGCATTACACCTGTTAAACATTAAGAGGAACCAAAATAAAAAATTGTTTTATTATTTATAACTATTAACAAAAAAAGTAATAAAAGTTTGGTTTGTAATGCTAATACAAACGTGCAGTTTAGAAAATACGTAGGTAATACCTTTCGTATCTCAATTGAAGGCAACTGCTTTTCAAAGTTAACACTGTTTAAATCACGACGAAGAACATGTTTACTGGAGCTTATAGGAGTCAGTATGTTAGACATACTTATTAAGAACAAAAGTTTAAAAAGCATCTCTAATTTCGCAGAAGCTTGTGTATACGTTAGTCAACAAAAATCTAATCCAAGAAGGTCAACTGTTCGACTGACTGCATTTATTCTATCTGATTGCTTTAAATTGTTTTCAGTCTTAGTAATTTATCGATATTTAATTACCAATTACGATACGATAAATTACCCTATTACTGTCGCTCTAATGTTTCATTTAAAATTTAAGTGCACTATATTGTTCATAAGACTTAGCTTTAATCGCTTATTTGAGAAACAAAAAATTCTCTTCCACAGTTGTTTTTTTTCTTATCGTTTTACCAAAGATTAATTAAAGATATATTGTTTTATACATTAAATTTGTCTTTTTAGATTAATTTTATTTTCAAAATAAATTATAATTTGTAGAGAAAATCATACGCATATAATGAGACATTTTTAAAATATTTGGATGAAACATTACATATTTTATGAAATATCTAATAAACACAATGAGATCATCACTCAAACATTATTTAAACAGCATGTTTTATACACATATTCACTTATGTTTAAAATAATACATTTAATGACTATTGTCAGAATAATAAAAATTAATTGGTATTTTTTCAAATTATTTTTACAGCATCACATTCTTACGTTTTACAGACATATACGTATATATATATATATATATATAGTATATATATTATAATAAATTTATTATATATAATATATATATATATATATATATATATATATATATATAATTAATATACTATATATAGTATATATAATATAGTATATATATTATAATATATTTATTATATATAATAATAATATATATATATATATAATACACATATAATTTTAGCAAAGTTCACTTTTAGCAACTGGTATGCATTATTTTTTATGACCGTTACTTTTTTCCTTCGCAACAATGTATTGTCTTGTAAATATAAGGTTTACCCAAGTAATTTTAAACAGAAATTAATAAATTTTAGAAACAACTTTTGTACTTGAATATATATTCAACTGTCAATATAGTTGAAAGAATTATTTTGGTCTGTTATTTTAAAAGCTATTCAACTTAAAATCTTACAAAATGAAAAAAATGCTTGTATTCTATATTTCATGAATTGGCTTTAAAATGTCTGTAATAGCACCATGCGCCTCTTAAATTAACAGTTGATGTTAATGTCAAAGCACACCATTTTTAACGATGAACATATATGTGCATATGTGCACATATATATATATATATAAATAGATGGGCAGATAGATAGATAGATAGATAGATAGGTAGATACGCATATTTCTTTTGAAATTTAAAAAAAAATTTAAATTAAAGTTAAATCTTTCTATTTTATTTTGCACGAGAGAAAATAATTTTTGACTGAATATAAATATTATTTTGTCAATACTTCATTACATTTTTCAATTTTCATCTTTTTGTTTTCAGTCTTTTTGTATTTGCATACCACATATATGCATTTTTCAAAATAAATCTGCTATCATTCTTATATGTAAATCAAAATGAAGATCTCAGATAAAACTTCATTTTTCATTTGCTATGTGTTTTCTAGTAGAAAGTCGCACATACTTTATCAAGATTCTAATATATACTACAATATACACTACAAATTGATTCGCCAAATAAATGTTTTCTCTTTATCACAATTTTTGAATCAATAACATAGTAACTTACTTCTACCAGAATCTGGGTCAATACTCTTTATCTAAATTTTTCAAAATTTAATGTTATCATACATAAGAATTTTTTCTTAATGCAATAGTTCATCGCTGTTAAGAATTGGTGTGGTGTCGTTTTTACGATTGAGCCTTAAATTGCAGGAACCCCAGTTGGCACCTCTTTCTGCCTCGGTAGTTTCCATTAAAACGGCATAAGAATTTGGATCAACGGCTTCCTTGCTATAGTGAATTCCATATAAAAAATATATCAGCAAACCTGTAAAGAAATTGACATAGCTATTATTAGCATTACATCTATTATTATTAGATTTTTATTACATCTATTATTAGATTTACACCTTCAATAACTGTCGATCGCATTCGTTTAATAATTTTAATGAATTTTAATACTTATATCCCTAATTGTTATTTTAATTATTAATTGTTATTATAATATTGTTATTTCTCTAAAACACATTATTAAATTAACCGATTTTTAAAGTTATATTAATAATATTAATGTGACTAACACATTATTTCGCATGTTACTATTTCCAACATAAAGTAGTCGAGGTTTGCTATACTGAACTTATCGGAACAAATAATATTTTATAACTTTTCTTCCATTTACAATCACAAAGTATTTCATTATTATAACTTTATTTATCATCGTACTGAATAGGACGTTTATTTTACAATCAATTAAAATATTTCTCAATTAAACAAACAATAAACTTATTAATAAAAACTAAACTTAATGTTCAAACTTGTTGACTTACATTATACAAATAATTCAATTGTCATAAATAAAATCTCTTCCATTAATTCCTAATTATGGATAAAAGTTTTCACTTTTATTAATTAAATACAATATTTTTATGGCGATAAAAACGATATTGTTCTATTCATTTTTAATAGTATTAATTTTATAATGAAATAATGCTCACCAACTATCATCCATACAAAAAACCGTAACCACGTTAATAAAGATAGATGAAACATTAGACTGATATTTAAAAGAATACTCAGAGCTGGTACAAGTGGAACCATTGGAACTCTAAAACTGGGACCAGTTAGATTAGCTGGATTTTGTTGATGTGCGGCGATAACTAAAAGACCTATAAACAATTCATTGAAATCTGTAAGCTTTGTCTTTTTAATTTAAAATTAATTATATAAAGTAATTCAGAAATTATTAATTAAAGCGGCAAACAATTTATGTTTTTAGTTCATTTGTAATTCTAAATCTAATTGAAAGAATACGTAAAAGTAAAAATAAGAACCTACTCGCTATAAGAATGATGATGAGATTAATTAACATTATATAATCCCACCAGGCCGGTGAGTAGGTATTTTGAGATAAGAATACCAATAGTAAACATAGTGAAACGCAGGCAACAGAATAAAATATAATAGATGTAGTCACGGTGGTTCCTGGATTGCAATTGCCAAGGAAATTCGCAAGCCATGTATAGCGCGGTTTCACTCTTCCTATTCCATCCGTGCAAAATCCTCGAATGAGCTAAAAAAAAAGTTACGTCATTATCAATAATATTTTACTATTTTCAATACGTATTCTCGTTAATACAATTATTACTCACAACAATTTATTATCACTCACACACACACGCGCGCGTGCGCGCACACACACACACATATTTAATTGATTGGCTCAATGAGAACGTAATTTTAAAAAGTGGTGAACCTGCGAGTCGACGGAAGTACACATGCTATTACAGTCGCTGGAGTCGAGGGCGAGGTCGGTATTGGCCGGCGAGACTAGCTGGTGAGTCGAGGAGCTTGCGAGTGTCGCTGTGTCTGAGGAGACGGTATTGTCCATGGCATGGGATGGTAGCGGTGGCGGCTTATATCTCAGGACAATCACGCTCGCCGAGACGATGGTATAAGCAAGGAAGGTGCCGATCGACATGAACTCGACAAGGTGATCAATATCAAAGAGGAGAGCTATGAGACCGCTCACGGCGCCGCTTATCGCGAGATTGACACTGGGCACTTGAGTGCGTTTGCTCACGCGCGCCAGGAAACCAAATAGTAAGCCATCGCTCGCCATTGAGTACATGGTGCGTGGCAGGGAAAAGAGCGAGCCAAAAAGGGTCGTCGTCATACCACAAAGAGCACCCACGCTAAAACACAAACACCAGGTGAGTTTCCTTATTTTTTCGCTGCGACAGACATTTTAATATTCATATTCATTGCTTATTAAGTTAAACACGTACAATAAATAATACTTTGGCAATAAATGTAGTGCTTTATTTTAGCGACGCATAGTTTCTGGGAATTATGTAACATTTTTTAATCGTTTAATGTGATGATATTAAATAGTTATGAACATTCAGCTCATTTAAATCACGATTAGATTAAATTACAATTTTATACTAACTTTATTTGTTATTATTTAACGTTTAATTAAAAAGGAGCGCAGCAGGTTTTATTGATACCATCGTACGAGACACTTCTTTTCCAAATTAACATATGTTAGAAAATAAAAAGCACGAAAAATACATTTCGTTCTTCGTAAACAGACCTTATAACGTATTTTGCCCACGGGATTCCTTTGGAGGAGAAAGCTTCGGGCAGAGCAGCGGTACGACTAATCTTCGAGTAGGGCTCGATCAAAGTGAGAGCCGCGCTAACGAGAATGTAGCCCATGGTGACGATGGCCATTGAGAATCCCGTAGCACGCGGTATACTGTGACTAGGATCGCGAGCTTCTTCGCCTGAAGTTGCTATCGAATCAAAGCCGACGAAGGCGTAGAAGCAAGTAGCAGCCCCTTCGAGAAAAATGATTACTTTACTTTCAAATTATTCTTTATCATTTCAACATACAATTCCACTTATTAGGCAACGGATGTTTGTTTTAACTTAATATTTACTCATAGAATGAATAAGAGATATCTTACTACATATGAAATGTATGTGTCTCTAATACAAAATAAAAGTAAACTTTCCCTGTACACTTACACTATACTTTTTTTATTAGGCTTGGGAGAGCTTTTTTTATTGATTAATGAAGGTTTTAACCTTATTATCTAATCCTTAGGGACAACAAATTTTAAGATAATATATTTTACTGAAACTATTTTAATAAAACTTTTCAAACTATTTTTGTATATAATAACATATATTTGAATAATATTCAACGTGCTCTCAAAAAAAAGTTAAAGCAATTAAAGAACCAAAAATTCAATACGTAAAATGTAAGATAAATAACCAATGAATCGATACAAATTTTTTAATTTTTTACAAATGATTGTGAATTTCGCATTTATTAATTTAAACGGTTGGATTAATTATAATTATAAAAATACATCAGAATACTTCATTTAAAAAATCAGACAAAAAAACAATAAGTTACCAATTAGCTATGCATGAATATAATTCAACACTGCCAAGAGTATTTTAATTTATTATAAGATGAATTTCTAATTTCATTGCTAATTAATGTCTATAGAAAGATGTTCATACATATATCTATTAAATTATAAATTATATATATTTAATAAATAATTACACAAAATAAATATGTGATTGTAAGCTGTATATTTCTTAGATCGTGTTAAAAAATGATAATATCATTTAAAAAAAAAACAGTTGTAAAGTTTATACAATAAGAGTAATAAGATATAAATAGATTCAGATTAATAGTAATTGAATAATAACACCCTTATAGCTTTAGAACCATAACAATAATAATTATAATAAAGAAATGTATAAACACATTATATATATATATATATATAATGAATTATCGTTGAATAATGAAAACGAAATAATACAACAACAAATAAAACAATAATACATACAATAATACATTTAAATCTCTCTATAAACAGACACTAATTAATTAATTCATATAAAGAAAACTAAATCTTTAAATGTGTTAATCATTAAATTAATTAAATATAAAATTAAAATACAATATTATATATATATATTATACTGCAATAAGTATATAATATAATAAGAATTAATAATTGTAAATCGGAATATTACTGTACTATAAAGCTTTCTTAAACTAGAAATGATCAAATGAAGTTATTCTCTCCATCTCTCTCTCTCTCTCTCTCTCTCTCTCTCTGTCTTCCTTTCCTTCTTCTTCTTCATCTTTTCTTACACTCGAGTAAAAAATCATTACTTCACGAAAACAGATTGTAAATCATACCAGCGAAAACGCCAGTAATGCCGTAAGGTAAAAAGCCGTTTTCTCTGTAGTTCCAGTTGGAAAGATCGGCCTGATAGAAACCGAGCACAACAATGAGACCCATGATCCCAAGGTTGACCATCGTCAGGAGGGAGTTGATTGCAGCGGAGCACTTGACGCCCATCGCGAGCAGGAAGGCGTAAACGAGGCAGAGAACAGCAGCGACAGGATCGGGGACATTACCAATTGACTCATCGACGCTGTAACCCCCTATGAGATACCTCGTCAGATTACTGATTGTTCGACCGGACAGGGAGTCCACGTAACCACTCCAGGCCCGAGCCACCGACGCTGCACCTACCAAATTTATCTTCTATAATTAAAATTTAGATTGCCTCGCCATTGTGAAATGAGTAATTTGCTTGCTTTCACGTATTACGCTACCTTTGATTGGTCTTGATTGGATTTTTATATAACGATAAAATCATTATAAAATTCACAACGAGATAATTAAAACATGTTTAAAATTTGAAATTTGTAATAAATCTTTGAATGTGATTTATATTTGAATTTATCGAAATTTTTTATATTATAATAGTGTATTAGAAGTGATTTTAATTATTTAAATTATTATTAATAATTATTATATTTTCATCACTCGTTTACGTACTGAAGCCTACCCATAAAAATTATTATTACAAGCCATTATTGACTTTAATTATGAAATTATATTGAAATGAACTATTTTCTTATTTGTATTCTCTCGTATATTTTAATGTAAAACGATTTAATTAAGTTAGCGTAACATAAATAAATATTTTCGTATCTTATAAGATTCGCGTTCAAAATTGTATAAGCTTACCGTTAAAAATGTAAAGTAAATATAAACAACTTATGCCAATTTTATATGCTTTTAAAGAATTTTTCGTTTATAATTTTGATGATTATTTATGATAATACTAAAAACGGCACAAACCTATCATGTGCTCTAAAATGATATTCCAACCAATAACAAATGCCCAAAATTCACCAACGGAAACATAAGCATATACATAAGCACTTCCAGCTTTTGGTACTCTGGCGCCAAATTCAGCATAACAAAGAGCAGCTAATAACGATGCTAAACCCGCTAATAAAAAGCTCAAAATTACGCCAGGTCCAGCAATATCACGAGCAACAGGACCAGCCAAAACATAAATCCCAGCACCAATCATATGTCCGATCCCTAAAACAATTATTTTGTTTCATATTTTTAACTTTAATATATAATATTATATATATTATTTTCAATTATATTTCATCAATAATGAAGCATAAATAATATATTTTATTTTGTAAGTATAAGATTTAATATCTTATGTATACATACACACACACACACACACACACACACACACACATTTCTAACAATGTTATTTATTTCAATTTAAAAATAATATATACTATTAAAATAATTAATATTTTCAATATTTTTTATAATATTGTAAAATTACATAAGTAATATACTAAAATAAGAATGTAAGAAAAAATATATACGCGTATAATTGTAATTATGACTCCCTTTTCACTATCCCAAGTTATAGCGAATAGAGAGTCTTATTTGGAATTTCTACAATCGTTTAAGAATTTTTATTGCTGCACTGCCATACATACCAAGAAGAGTAATGTCGAAAGTGGATAGACATCGTTTCAGCGGCGTATCCATGACGTCACCTTGCAACTGCTTCTTTCGATTAATTTTCGCACACATCCCCGACATAACGTGACTTAATATCATTCGCCTAACTGACGGCATCTAAAAGACATAAATTAAAAATATTTATTGTTGATAAATGCAATTATTTTAAAAATTTGATTATAAGTGCTTAAACGCCATTTAAAGGAATTAAATTAAAGTCAAGTAAAATATTTATAGATTGTATTTAGAATAGTTTTATTATTCAGATATAATATCTAAATTTTAATAGTATATTTTATTAGTATAATAAACTATTTTGTATACTTTTTCTAAATATATATATATATATATATATATATATATATATATATATATATATATACATTAAACTCTAATAATTTCTATCCTCAATTTTTACAAAGCAATATTTGCCATTAAACAAGTGAGACAAAACAGTCAGACAACAGTAAATGATGATAATAGTGGTCGAACTTGTCAATGAGATAAAGTAAAGGTAAATTTGTTGAAGTATTATTGAATTCCGTCACTATATTACACAATACAACTTGAAATTCGATCATGAGGGTCACGTATCTGGACGTGACAATTTTTCTCAATGGCTCTAAAATGAAATAAAATCAATAAAGTCCTGTGAGTCTATACTCTAATTTCTAACTAAGTTTGTCACATTCTACAATTCTCTTTTAACAAGAAATTGCAATACTTAAATGGAGACTCACCTTGTGTCGTTCTTTTTTTAATGCTCAATACAAAAACTCTTCTTATCATGCTATTTGAGTTATTTTGTACAATACTTTAACACAATATCGCCCGCATAGTAATAAATCAATAATATGATTATAAAACTTATCTCGCATTGGCCATAGCAGATTGATTATAATGCAAAGCAAATTGACAAAGATCGATAAAGAATCGATCAAAAGTTGCGAACCAGCTTTTGCACTGTCAACCACCAAATTCCCGCTCGCATTATTCGTTCAGCGCGCCCGAAACGGATGCCCATCACTATTACAAACTTTATAAAGTCACCTCTAAAAGTCGTTCTCCCTCGCTGGCTACCGAAATACCGCAGGACACGAGCCTCCAACGCCTTAAGGTCGTGCTTACAGAGGCGCGTAACGCCGCCGCGGCCTCAGCGACAACCGCACCTGACGTATCCGCGCTTATTGTTCTATTCGGTAGAGGATTGTAGAAGGAGGTGCGGAAAGGGGAAGTTCGTAGCGGGGCCGAACGAAAGGGGCGGGTGGCTGACAACGGTGGTGGCGTCGTCGTCGTCGTCGTCGTCGGGGGCGCCGCGACGCATGCTCCGGCTGATGTGCGGTTGTCAAAGGAGGGGGAAGGGGGTAGGCAGGGATCGATGTAGTCGTTTTCGCCTCCTTTGCTTTTCTATCACTACTTTTGGGAGCGAGGCTTTTAAGCAAATTTTTGGTGGGTGATCCCAACCGTTGCTTAGAAATTAGCGGCTGTGTATCCTTGTAAAATCCTCTTTACTCCCGAAACGAGAGCTTTGTTAGAACTTGGCGGAGACTGTCACTGTATATGAGCCTGCTTCACATATGATAAACTAATCACATTTCGGTATCAACTTCGACCTTCCAAGTTTGATTAGATGATTAGCAAAGAATCCAATCAATTTATTCAGTTTTGTAAAACTAGTTATTATGCGATTTAAATGAATTGTCATACATAAATTAATAGCGGTCAGTTTGTTATCGATCTATAACATTAAATAATAATTTTTCCATTTAATGGAACGCGAAAATAATGGGAGAAAGAATTATTCGTGATTTCACCTTAATACATTAATATTAACATTTAATCCTAAAATATAAGCATAACGTACTTCCAAAACTGCTATTTCAGCAGAATTAACATGGGTTGATAATGGTATATTATCGACAAACATTGCGGAAGGGCTTTGGGAGCTTAGAGTCAGCTTCTACAGATAGCGCAGTTACAGCTGATACAACTAACACATTGTCAGTTATAGCCAAGTACACTTTAAACTTAGGTCATTACTTTTTGATGTAGATCTTTAAAATGCTACAAATTCATAATGATTTAAAATTAAAGAAACTTTCTTAATTCTTATTTATCTCTTATTCATCTTTTTCCTTTATTTGATAACAATTACCGGCATTGTTATCGGTTCTAACGATTATCCTGCATATATCGAAGAAAAATTATAAATATATATTTACAGAATTATAAAAACATAATATCATTAACGTCATTAATTAAATTAAAAAAAGGAGATTTTGTAGCATATTATTATTAAAAACCGTACTAGGTTATTTTTATTTTTTAATTAACTAATTGTAATTTACCATAATATTAACTAAATAAATAATAAACTATCAAACTTTATACTGTCTTAGCATATATAATTACCTCGAACTTTATAATTGCTGTTATTTATTTAAATAAGAAAATACGCTAATTAATTTGAAGAATTTTTTAATCTAAAAATCAACTTAAAAATAAAAATGAATATTTATAATATAACATTTTAAATACGTATATTAAAATACATGCTTATTAAGATTCCATTTTTTAAAATAAAAAAAATATATCTATGTGTATTAAAATCACATTTTTCATTAAAAAATTATAATAAATGAAATTTTAATATTTAGGACTATATACATTATTATTGTAATTTTGAAAAAAAAGTAATGAGATACTTACATTTAATGATAATCAAATTTAATGAAAAATTTAATTTAAATCATTTTTTTATATTTAAGAATTTTAACTATTTATCAAAATTAATTGATAAATTATTCCAATAGATAATAATTCCAAATAAATTTGGAAATATATTTCCAAAAATTGGCTCAGAAAAATATTTTTTCATACAAAATATATTTTTAAAATAATCATGTATTTGTAAAATAAAATGATATTTTTGAAAAATATAAACCAAAAAATAATACGATAAAGTAGAATTCAATATATAAACTTCATTTTATATTAAAAAAGATGTTTTATATAGTTTTAACAACTTTATTATAAATATAAATTATAGGTATAATACAAATTTTATAGTTATTATATTAAAAATAATCCATATTATTAAAGAAAAACAAAGTAAAAAGGACATATTATTGAAAATAATAAATAGTTATAAAATTATTCTTTTTCAAGAAAAATTGCTCATTGCATTATTTTTAATTAAACCTCCACTGATAGAAATATTTTTTATGTGCAGTAAATTTATGAAATTCAATTAAATTAAATGTATTAAATTAAATTGAATGATTAACTATACAGTTTATTTTGCACAGTATATTATTGGTCAATTTCTGTTAATTTGATCTTATAAATAAATTCATTAAAGTAATAAAGGTAAAAAAAATTAAAGGATAATTCTACACATACACAATAGAATTCGTGAATTTTAATAGGTGTGGTTCCGTTACGTTTCTCTTTCGTAGCTCGTATTGTGATTATCACATGGTCTTTGTACTTTTACATCTTGTTAGAATTGTCAATTAGTAAAAGTACATCACTAGCATCATGGTCGAGTTAAGTCACATACACGGCTTAGAATTAAAATATATTTTTCATGGAAATTCTAAATCGTAATATACAATTTTATATAAATTGTATTACTAAATTTAATTGTGATTCATATGTTTAATATTTCTTCAAACATTTTGAATTTCAATTATTACTATTATTACTTCGATATAATATTGTACAAAGATATTTTTTACCAATAACAAGTATTAAGAAATTTATATTATTATAATAAAGATGATTAATTTGGTCTCATATAATAAAAATATATATTTATGAAATTGATTAAAATTTATTTTAAGTACCAGATATGTAAATTTCTTATTGACTTTTATTATATATTCTGTATTAGCCTTTCACAATTGATTTAGTGAAATAAATACACTCCACTATTAAAAAAAAAATTAATATAAAAACTGTGAAATATTTTAGCAAATTAGAGGTAAGATTTTTATTTATATATATAGAAATAATTTCATCTAAATACTAATTTTCTTCAGGATTTATGGATTTACAAATTCAGATTTTGCCTTTGAAAAATATGAAAAATCAAATTAATAATTTTTTTTCTAAATAATACAAAACCATTTAATACATTACCATATTAGAGATTATTAAGTTTAAAATACATAATATAATACATATTATTTTTTGCTTTTAAAAGTTTTTTATCTTTATTTTACAGAGGGGTGGTTAAAAAATTGTGTCGATTAAGAATTTCCAAAATATAACAAAAAATATCTATAGAATATTGGTTTATTAAAACTAGCTTTTATCGATAGTCAATAACAATTAATATTGAAAATCAAATGATGGAAAAATTTATGCTCTTATTTAAATTTCGTTGGAATATTAAATTATAATAGTGATTTCAAAATTATTATAAAATTTTATTAATTGGAATATGTAAGAAAATAATAATTAAATTTTATTTGTACAAATAGGCTATATATCGAAACTGAAATTGTCGAATTTTTCTATTAGAATTATTTGTAAGACCAAGCATCCTATTTAAGTATATAATGATTCGTATAGATCATTCCCATATATATAAAGATGTTTACGATCCATCTGCGGTGGATGAATGCAGAAATTCGTGCGAACATCTAGATTTGCTGGGTACAACTGACTGACCAGTTACAAGGCACTCAAAAAAAAAGAAAGAGAAACGAAACAAACACCCTAGCGGGTGTTATGAGCTCAATTGGGATTTAGCTTTTAGCTCCCCAGAGAACGATCTTGCAATCCAGTTTGACGCTACTTTCGGAAGACCGAAAAGGAAATAAATATGACGTCGTGCGTTCGATAATTTGGTAAGAAAAAAATTTGAAAAGAAAAAGAATAACAAGAGGGATGGTTGTGCGAATGTAAGGGGTGATAAAAACTGAAACTTTTTTATCTTTTCAAGAAAGATTTGGAAAATAATTTGTGAAAAAAAAATATTGTTCACATTTAACATTGAAGATGAAAAACATGATCTTTATATGTCTTATCAATATACTGATAATATTCATGAGTAAAATTTTTAATTCTTTTGAATCTACCAAAATTATTGAAATTATCAAAAATGTGAAATTATATTTTATAAAATTTATTAAAAATTAAAATAATATACTAAAATTAGTTCTAAAATTAGTACTAAAATTACCAAAATTTTAAAAATATATAAAATTAATTAAATGTAAAATATAATCCTGTGCTCCAATTTTTCAAACATGTTTATTAGAAACTGTTGGAAAAGTTCAGTAGAATATAATCCTCGTTATAAGTAACAAATTAGCTATCAATACTATATATTGTGCTTCAGCATTGTGCAATTATATATTATTATTTAAAATATTATAGACAATATTTATAACAAAAAATGATTGGTTAAAATATAATACATTTATAATTTAAAGATTTTAGACGTATCGTAAATAGTAAAAAATGTATATAAACAAGTTTTGTAAATTTTAATAATTTAAATTCTCATATGCCAAATCATGATTAAAAATACTTTATATATACAAATATATATATATATATATATATATATATATATATATATATATGTATATATATAAATTAAATCAAATCGTTTTGTTTATAACGTGTTTTAATGATTTTTTTTTAATGACCGTTATTCTTGTTTGATATAGAAGAATTCAGATAGTTCTTTACACATAAAGACTAATTGAAAAATATATAATGCAGTAAATTATACATTAATTTATTTGTTAGTCCCTTTTAAAATATAATGCAAAAATTACTTCTTTAACAGAGATCTTTAAGAGGATTATATGAATGTAGAATGTGTAGAGCATAATCTGAGACAATTGGCAATATATTACAAATGCTACATAAAAATTTGAAATTGTAAAAAATAAACTACTGAACTTCAAGTAAATTGTATAAAATTTGTGAAATTATCAACTAATTGAAATATTGTTTATTGAGTTTGAATTTTTTTAATTAGCACGTAAAAACATTAATTGCGCATTCCTGTGAATCTCTGCTATATTAATTATACTTTTTTGGAAATCCTAATATT